GCCTCTCCAGAGCGCTCTGGGCACACTCCAGGGGCACGCCCGGGGGCCGTCGAGGCCTTCTTGGAGCCCTCTCTGGGCCCTTCTTGGGCCCTCTAGTCAAGCAGTGGCGAAGCGTTCTGGCTCGCCTATAGCCCCACCAAACAATATTCTAAGAACCTTTTGTGGTATGCGCGAAATGTTTTTAGAACATTCCTGGTTGAGTCTGTCTTGGTTTAACACCATTGTTTTTGTTTTTGGAACATTTTTGGGTCTAAGAACATTTCGCGGTAGGACTATCGGCGAGCCTGGCACCTCTTCTTGCCGTCGACACCGTCGTAAACGTTGGGGAGCCCCCCCGCAAAAAGAAATCATGTTGTAATCTTCTTCAAAAGGAATACTGTTGCAACCCGCCACAATGGAATCCTTTTGTAGCCCGCCACAATCGGAATACTTTTTGGAATTTGCCACAAAAGGAATCCTTTTTGTAGGTCCGCCACGAAAGGAATCTTGTTTGCATTTCGCCACAAAAGGGATCCTTTTGGAATCCGCCACAAAAGGAATTCCTTTAAGGTGGACGTGCAAGTTGACCGACGGCTCAGGGGGTACCAGGGAACAAAAAACAACAATACAAAATAACCAGGGAACAAGTAAAAAACGAATGTGAATCTCACGTTGTTTGATGAATTTGTGCCTGGGTATCCCCGCGACAAGGAGTCTTTTTGTAATCATTTTGTGGCGGATTACAAAAGGATTCCTTTTGTGGCTGATTACAAACGAATTCCTTGTGTGGCGGGGCTACTAGGCCAAAAGTTCATCCAAAAACGTTAGAGTCCTAACTGTTATTTTCTCTTTTTCCTTCTTTTTTCCCTGGTACACCCTGAGCCGTCGGTCAACTTGCACGTCCGCCTTAAAACAATTCCTTTTGTGGACGTTGGGTCCCCCCCACAAAAAGAAATCATGTTGTGATCTTCTACAAAAGGAATCCTGCTGCAATCCGCTACAAAAGAATCCTTTTGCAACCCGCCACAATCGGAGTCCTTTTTTGGGGGGGGGGGGACTTTGCCACGGAAAATCCCTTTGTCGGTCCGCCACCAAAGGAATCCTCTCGTAACCGATCCGGACAAGAACGGGAAGCGCCGCTTTGTCCACAGGGCTTGTTAGATAACGTCTGATTGAGCACACCAAAGATCTCCGCGCTGGCGTGCCGCGCTCGTCTGCCGTGCTGGTCCTGCCGCGCTGGCCCTGCCTCCTCCCCATCCTTCTCCTCCTCCGAGCTTAGTGGTTGCCAGCGGTTGCTCTGGTTACTCGTTACTTCTCGGGGCCTCTCCGAGCTTATTGGTTGCCTGTGGTTGCTTCTCCAAGGTTAGTGGTTGCCTCTCCCAGCTTAGTAGTTGCCTGTAGTTGCTCTGGTTACTTCCCCGAGCTTCTCAAAACTTGGTGGTTGCCTGCGGTTGCTTGTCCAAGCTTATCGGTTGCTTCTCCGAGCTGAGTTATCGTCTGTGTTTGTTCTGGTTACTTCTCCGAGCTTCTCAGAACTAAGTGGTTGCCTGCAATTGATTTGGTCACTTCTGCGAGCTTCTCAGAACTAAGTGGTTGTCTGTGGGTGCTTCTCCGAACTTAGTGGTTGCTTTACCAATCTTAGTCGTTGCTTGTGGTTGTTCTGGTTACTTGTCCGAGCTTCTCCGAGCTTACTGCTTCTTGCGGTGTTCTGGTTACTTCCCCGAGCTTCTCCGAGCTTAGTGGTTGCCTGTGGTTGCTGTGGTTACTCCTCCGAGCTTCTCAGAGCTGAGCGGTTGTCTAAGCTTGCGTGCGCATGCGCACACATAATTTCACGTAACATCACTGCGCACACATGCAGTGCATTCGCTGGGATTCCCTCCACCGCCTGCTTGTGTGTGTGTCGACGTGTGTTGCAAACAAGGGTACGCGCCAGGTAATAGGTGCAAAGAGGCGGCGGGGATTGCGTGCGAGTGGGACATGTTCGGAGGGTGTGGGGGTGAGAAGGTGACAGGTGTGGTATCTTGAAGATGGTCACAGCGAGGGCGTCAACAGCTGGCGAAAGGCGTGACCATCACTGGAATTCAACAACCATTGTTTTGCTCGAGGTTGTCTCGGTTGAGATGAACATGTCTATGAAAACGTCACGACCTGCGCAACAGCTCACCGCAGGAAGGCGGCCTAAGCGACATGTATACGATGGCCATCAGCATCTCCAAATAGCTTTCCCTGCCGCGGATATCTACAATCGGAGATCGGCCACCGCTCGTTTGCATCTAGCCGCACGTCTGAGAGCCCACGAGCCGTGCAGGCAGTTTGCCAAGTTGCGCGCGCGTCACAGATAGGTTCACTCTGAGAGTATATCGGAACTACACAGCTCCGCATTATGGTTTGTTAATTGTTTCCGTGGCGACGGGTTAATACAACGCCGCGTTGCGATGGCGATGGGGGCGTTCGCGAGACGGGAACTGTCGGCAGCCGTCACATCACGGTTAACTTACGCTTCAGAATTCGAAGTCGTTGGCAGGGTGCGCGTCGGGCTGGATTGCTCTGAGAGCAATGTTAAATCACAATTCACAATTGTCATGATCAGTGCTTTTGGCTTGTCGGGAACTTGCGACCAAAGGTCGGCGGTAAGACCGCTCTGAGAGCGGACATGTAAACGAGTTGTGATCGCTTGGCGTTCAAGCGACGAGACAGGACCTTTTTCCGAGGATGTCTCTAGCGAGAGCCCAATGTTTAACGAAACACGTCTGAATCAAACAGCTTCCACATCTAACTTTGTCGAGGATGTCTCAGGCGAAACAACAATTTCAACGAGTCGCTCAATTTCGCGAGCGAGCTCAGTAGCTCGTATTCCGAGGAAGTATCGAGCGAGGGCCTCATGTTTAACAAACGACGTCTCAGCTACACGGCTTCAACATCTCATTTGTTCGAGGATGTCTCAGGCGAAACTGCCATTTTGAGCGGAATCCGCCAACGTATCAGCATTTACAATCGGGAGTCAGTTGTCCCTCGCGAGATTGTTCTTTATGTATACCTCACTTAGAAATCCTACGCTCTCGTTCCGAGAAGGCGCTTCCCGTCATCTGCCACAAGAGGAGCCCTTTTTGGAATCTGGCACTCAAGGGGTTCCTTTAAGGTGGACGTACAAGCTGACCAACGGCTCAGGGGGTACCAGGGGAAAGAAATAATAAAGAAACATCATTAGGGAACCAGGAACATATAAAACAACGCATGGGACTTTCACGTTTTTATGGATTGTTGGTTGGGTACCCCCGCCACAAAAGGAGTCTATGTGTAATCATGTTGTGGCGGATTCCAAAAGGATTTCTTTTGTGGCTGATTACAAAGGAATTCCTTGTGTGGCGGGGCTACTAGGCCAACTGTTCATCAAAAAACGTGAGAGTCATATACGTTTCTTTTCTCTTTTTCCCTGTTTTGTTTTGTTATTTTTTCTCTGGTGCACCCTGAGCCGTCAGTCAACTTGCACGTCCGCCTTAAAATATTTTCTTGTGTGGTGGATTCCAATTCCTTTGTGGCGGATTACAAGAGGATTCCTGTTGTGGCGGAGTACAACAGGATTCCTTTTGTACTGGATTGCAAAGGGATGCCTATTGCAGCGGATTGCATTTCTTGATGTGGGGAATTACAAGGAATCCGTTTTCGCTGCAGGGCTGCTAGTCCAAAAAATTATCAAAAAGCGTGGGAGTCCGATAGGTTAGCTCCTTTGTCTCCTTTGTCCCATTTTGTCTTATTTGTCTCCTCTTTGTCCCCTTTTGTATCCTTTGCTCCTTTTGTCCCCTTGATCCCCGCTTTGTTTCCTTTTGTCCCCTTTGTCCCCTTTGTCCCCTTTGCCTTTCTTGTCCTCTTGATTTTCCTTTTATCCCCTTTGTCCCCTTGTCCCCTCTGACCCCTTTGTCCCTTTTGTCCCCTCTTTGTCCCCTTTTGTCCCCTTTGTCCTCTTTGCCCCCTTTGTCCCCTTTTGTCCCCTCTGTTCACTCTTTGTCCCCTGTTGTCCCCTTTGCTCCTCTTGTCCACTTTGTCCCCGCTTTGTCTCCTTTTGTCCCATTTGTCCCCTTTGCCTTCTTTGTTTTCCTTGTTCCCCTTCAGTCTCCTTTGCCTCCTTTGTCCCATCTGACCGCTTTGCCCTTTTTGTCCTTTTGTTTTTCCCCCCCTTTGCCTTGTTTGTCTCCTTTTCCCCAGCGTTTTGCGGCACCGCGTTCGGACAGACGGGAGTGCCGCGAAGCATCCGCAGTTACCGGTGCGGAAATTGAAGGTTGCCGCAGGCTCTTGACCCAGTGGTGTCGAGTTCGAGAGAGAATTTGAAAAGGTTCAGTCTCTTGCCGCGGTAGTGTGAATTTGAGAAGGTTCATTACCCTGTTTCGTGTTGGCTAGGGAAGGAACTTGGAACGGTTTAACTCCCGTTCCAATCTCTAGTTCCGGGAGAAGGAATTTGAAAAGGTTCGCTCTCCCGTTCCGTGTTGGCTAGAGAAGGGCCCTGAACAGGTTCAATTTCTAGTTTCGGGAGAAGGAATTTGACACAGGTTCACTCTCCCGACTTCCGTGTGGGCTAGAGAAGGAATTTGCAGAAGGTCCAATCTCTAAATTCGGGGGAAAGAACTTGAAAAGGTTCACTCTCCCGAGTTCTTGTTGGCTAGAGAGTGAAGTTTACACAGTTCTTTCGCGTACTGGGAGATGGCAGTTGAAAACGTTCAGTCTCTTGTTTGTGTTTTGGCTGGACAGGGAACTTGAAAAGGCTCACCTTCCAGACGCCGGAGAAGTAATCCGACAAAAAGGTTTATATTCCCGTCGAACGATGTAATGTGGGACAGCAAGACCACATGAATTTAGAGTTTGTCAATCGAATGGGGAACCTGTTCTTATGAATTTGGAGTTTTCTGTCGTTTTGGGCTTCGAAGGGCCCCGTAGGTTCTGGGGTGTCTCGTGGGAACCGGTGCAAGGGGAATTCGATTCGGTTTCCTTTCCAGCCGTGGGAAAAGCAGCTTCACGAAACCGCCGCGAGGGCAGAGAGGGTCAAGTGCTTGCCGAACAGCAAGCTCAGCAAGGCGCCGTGCGCGGGGTACCGCCTGCAATGGAACAGGTGGATTATGCTGATCCGTCGCGGCGATAGAGGCTGCATGGTCGTACATCAACTTCCCTTTGCGACTTCCGATGTTTGTGACGGCGGCGTTCCAGCAAGAGTGCGACATTTTCGTCCCGAGGTACTTGCGGCAGGGCGCACTGGTCTTTACCGACGGGGCCGGGCCGTACGAGGCGCCTCGCGGCAGGCGACGTCAAGTGTTCCCCCGCGCGCTCCCGCAAGGATGCTTGGGCCGCGCGAAGGCGATTGGGAAGGACGCGTGCAGCGGCTGGCGCCTGCGCGCGGGTCGAACCAGCTTCAGCAGGATCTTTTGGCGGAAGAAGCTTTCGCGCGGGGTGATGACGCACTCGAAGGATGAGTGGTGCGTGGTGAACTCGATCCGCTTGCACTCGGCCAGTGGCACGAGCCGCGTGGTGAAGCTGAAACACGGCACTGGGTGCGTGGACGGGTGCTGGTCTGAGATGAAGCAGGCCATCCCCCAGTCCTTGAAGAGCGTCGAGCACGATAAGATGGCTCTCTACGTGAAGTCGTGGGCTTGGCGCACGCGGCGCCAAGGCGATAATTGTTTGCGGACATCCCCCCGCAACGTGAAGTAGATAAAAGTAGTCGCTAAACTGTCTTCAGCCGTCGATCGAGCACGCGCTTCTGAAACATTGAACGTCGCATCGCCCTCTTTTATCCGTGAGGGCTTCGTGGCGTAATTTACTAGGGATCGTGGCTCTGTGAGCGCAACTGTTGCGTGATCTGCGGCGGACCCTGACCCCAGGGGCACGAATTCTGGGGTAATTTGCGAGGGGTCGTGACCTCGCAGGCGCGAGTGCGGCGTAATTGACAAAGGGATAGTTGCCTCGGGGGCGCGATTAAAGCGTAATCTAATGATGCTGAGGAGGAGGAGGAGGAGGAGGAGGAGGAGGAGGAGGAGGAGGAGGAGGAGGAGGAGGAGGACGGGGGAGAGGATGCGGGGATAATGGGAAGGGGGAAAAAGGATGGTGAGGAAGAGGATGCGGGGATAATGAGAGGGAGGGAAGAGGATGCGGGGAGGAGAAAGAGGATGATGGGGAAGGCGAGAATATAATGAGGAATCGGATGGGGAGGAGGAGGAACTGGAGGAAAAAGAGGAGGAGGAGGAGGAGATGGCGGAGGGAGAGGGGAACGCCGAGTTCAAAGTAGTGCTTGCGATTCGCACGCGCGCAAAACAAGCGCCAGGTTCATCCAGCCCCCCGCCGGCTCTTGGGGCAAGTTCGGGGTTTCTTGGAGCCACGCGACCTTGTACTGTCTATCTGGAACCATCATGGGCCGTCGTGGTCGCTCGATTGAGCTACCGTTGGCTCATGTACTTCAGGAGTGAACAGACACGCGAACGCACATATTCGTCGATCGCCCAGAAACCCAGAATATGTGCAAACGCGCGGGGGGAACCTGGGATTCTATAGCAACAGAAAAAATAAACATGTGTGTGCCTGGTCCCCTTCAGTACCCGCGAGTCGGTTCAAGAACGACCAAGGCTGGCTCGAGCAGCTTGGCCCTGGCGCTCGGGGGGGGGGGGGGCCAGGCTGCGCGACCCGCTCTCGCAGGGCAGGGCGCCTGGTCCGCCGGCCGGCGCATGGCCCTCTTCGCCGCCTACGCGCCAGACAACTTCGTGCCCTCCCGCGAGCGGGACCTGGCGGTGCTCGTGTTCAGCTCGGGGCGGACGAGGGGGGGGGTGTCAGGGGAGGCGAACCCTGAGATCCTGGCGTTTTGCAACTCTTTCACGACGGGCGCTTTGGGCCCTGTCATTCTTCCGGATCCTCGTCCGCCCCGACCGTCGCTTGTGGGCTCTCTGTCCTCGCCCTCGCGGTGCTGGCCGGCCTCCTGCGGGGCCGGCGGCTGTGCTCGGGCTCGCCGGCGTGCCCGCGGCGCCCCGCGCTGGGCCGGCCCCTTTGCGGGGGCCAGGGGCGCGGGGAGGAGGATGGGCACCCCTCCAACATGTACGAATTTTAGGTTCAAGCAGTGGCGAGGCGTCCTGGCTCGCCCATAAATAACCCCACCGAAGAATGTTCCAAGAACCTTTTTTGAGGTTCCCACGGGATGTTCATGGAACAATGTTGATTGAGACGGTCTTGGTTTAACACATCGGGTTTATGCTCTTAGAACATTTTTGGGTTCTAAGATCATTTCGTGGTAGGACTATAGGAATGCCGAGACGGTCGGTCCCCGCTCGAAGGATGGGCATATTTCCAACATATACGAATACTAGGTGTGCGTCGCCCTCCCAGGGGCGACACGCGCACCGAGAAATCTTATAGCATATGCGTCGTGGCGGGCGCGGTCTGTCCACACCGCTCGGGAAGCGAGCTCCTGCAAGATGGGTATGCTGTATGTTCGGGTCGGACGCGCGCCCCCAATGATCACATATAGTACCAGTATGTCTATGTGCGTCCCAGAGGAGGGCGCCTTCGAGGCCTCGCTGCGCGAGGAGCTGGGGCGTCGGCGGCTGGCGCGCGCCCGGCGGATTGTCCCCTGGGCGCAGGTGTTCGGGGCTCAAGGGAGGCGGGTTTTTCAAATGCAAGGGCCAGTCTTTGAGTTCCACAAGCCAGTCTCCTGTCTTTGGAATTTCAAAACCAGGTTTGTGAATCCAGAAACGAGGTCCGAGGAGCTAATTCCGTCAGTCCGGCGGTTGTCTTGAATTTCGGCCACCCGGGCCCGTCGTCGGACCCGCGGGGACCATGAAAATCAGTAGGGGAAAAACACGCAGACACAAGTCATCGTCGATTCCCAGGAAAATGCGTATGAAACTATGGGAAGTGGGGGGGAAGAAGAAATCCAGAAAATATGCGAAAATATTGGGAATGTTTGTCTTTGTGTGTATTTATTTGTGTGTCCCCGGGCCCCTTCACAAAAACGAGTCCGGGACGAAAAACCACCCCCGGGGAAGGGGTCGGGACTTTTGGTGCCGTGGATTGAACAAAATCATAGCAGCGGATATCTCGGGGCTCCAGGCTAGATGGGGTCGGAGGATCGCGCCTCATCGCCGATGCATCGCCGATGTGGCTCGATGCGGAGCCTGATTTTCTCCACGCCAGCGTCGCCGATGCGTTGCCGACGTCGACGATGCCTCAACGATGCATCGGCGATGCGGCGCGATCCTCCGACCCCATAACCTCGGACCCCATTTGGGAGGCCTCTACACACGGGGGTCGATTGAAACGAGGGTCATTCAGAGCGCCGGATCCTGCAGGACCCTGCAGAGCCAGGGGCGCATTGACCCGGGCTTGGCTGCAGGATTCTGCAGCGTCTGAGTGACCCGTGTCCGTAGATCACCGCAGGTTCCCGTGGCCATCCAGGAGCCACAGCAACACGCGAGCTTGTGTCTCGGGGGTGGACAGAACCCCCAACAGTGACACGTCGATTAGTGAATTGTCCGTTTTCGGTTCTCGAGAGGGCGCCGTGGCCGCTATTTTCCAGGCTTGCGCCCGCCAGGTTTGGGCCTCAGGTCGTTTTCACTAAACCACGTTTTACTAAAGGGGGTTCTGTCCATCCCCGAGTGTCGGAGGTCCGCGCGGGGTTCTCGGGTCGGCGCGGGGCCTTCCTGTCAGCGCCTTCGGCGCCGCTCGTGGCGCAGGCAGGCCGTCCTTGTGGTGGTGGGCGGGCCGAGGGGCACTGGCCACCATGCCACCCCAACCCAACCCAAAATTCCCAAACTTGCCCTCTATTTACAGCGGGGGGGAGCGTCGGGGAATATTGAAAAATCATAGGTTGAACCCGTACCCCCCCCCACCCGAAACTGGGGTATTCGGGTTGGGTTGGGATGGTCTGGTAGGTAGTCAGTCCAGGGGGCAGGTCGATGTTATGCGGCGCGCTCAACGGTTGCAGTGCAAAGTATGAAAACTCGGCGTTTGCGGCGAGCTTCTTCAGAGCCTCGCAGACTACCGACGACCTAGCCGCCCCAGCGCTCTTATCCGTAACTGCGGGGGCTATTGGTGTCGAAGACGCCTACGGCGAATCACCGCCTCCCCCTGCCTTTTGGAAACGCCCATGCGGCGAAACGTTGGGCCGAAGTCGGGCCAAGCTATTGGACTACGTGTTCCCCCAGCCGTTGTGGAACTCCTTGGGGGAACACTTGGGAGAGAAAGAGAAAGGAGGACGAGAGGGAAGACAAAGAGGACGAGGAGGAGGACGAGGAGGAGGCGGAGGAAGGAGGAAGAGGAGGCATCTTGAGTCCTCATGGTGCCTCTTGGGGGGGGCCTCTTGGGGCCTCATGGGGGCCTCCCGAGGCCTCTGGGGGGCCTCTGGGAGCCTCTAAAGAACCTAGGATCCTCCTGGCCTGCGGATGCCGTCTTGGGAACTCTGGCTAGTCGTGGGTCTCTCTTTGGGCTCTGCAGGACCGTCTTGGAGGTCTTCGGGGCCGTTTTTGGGCCGTCATGCGGGGCCTCTTGGACCTTTTGGGTGCTCTCTTGGGCTGTCTTGGGGGCCCCTCGGGGTCTCTGCGGCCGTCGCAATTTTGGGAGCCCATGGGGCCGTCTTGGGGCGTCAGAAGCTTGAGAAGGCGATATTGTTCATACCATTGGAAGACCGAAGGGACACCGGCGATGTTGTCCTCGTGGAGATCTTCCTGGCGCCCTCTTATGGCGTCTTGGGGGCCTTGCATGCCATCTGAAGGACATCTTAGGCTGCCTGGGTGTCATCTTGGCCGTCTTGGAGGCGTATTGGGACCGTCTTGGAGGCCGTCTTGGCCGTCTTGGGGGCATTTTGGATGTCATCTTGGCCTGCTTGGAGGCCGCATTGGGGCCGTCTTGCGCTGGAAGACAGATGGGACATGCAATGTGGGCTCTATTGGGTGCGGGTTGCGCCACGCAACCTTGTGACAAGCACAGGGGCAGCGGATGGAAATGGGTTTCGGCCCGTTCCGCTACCGAGTTTAGGTTGTAGGTCAGAGGTCTCTTGGATGCCAATGGGCATCCCTTGGCTGGCCTGTCGGGAGCCTCTTGGAGGCGGTATTGGGGGGCCTCTTCGGGGCCTCTAGTACCAGTGCCTGATTTTGGGCCTCTGCGGGGGCATCCTGGAGCGTCTGGCGTTCTAGGAGACGTGCTGGCAGTCTCAACCGTCGTCTTGGGGCAGCTCGAAATGTCGGTTCGGGTTCCCCCATTCGGGGCCTCTCTTGGGCCCCTCTTGGGCCGTCTTGGGAGCCTATTGGGCCGTCTTGGGGCCCTCTTGGGCCGTGTGAGGTTCCTCTTGGAGGCCTCTTGGGCCGTATTGGGACGATCTTAGGGGCCTTGTTGGCTGTCGTGGGTTGTCTTCAAGCGTCGAACGCCCGAAAAGGCAAGGCCGCTAAAACATGTACAAAGCCTAAGGAACACCAATGATTACGGCCTCTCGGGGCCCTTTGGAAGTGCTCTTGGAGCCATCTTGTGGCGTCCCGGAGGCGTCTTGGGTCGGTTGGAAGCTATCCTGGGCGCGTCTTCGAGCGATCTTTCGCCGTATCGGAGGCGTCTTGGGCCATTTGGGGGGCCTCTCGGAGTTCTCCTGGCCTGCCCTGGGACCTGCTGGCCCCCGAGGAATCGCACAGGAAGATGCGCCACGCCCCGGGCGGCACGCGGCGCGCCCCAAGAGGTTTGAGAATTTTGGGCCCGGGCCCCCGGATCCCCATTCACACGTGCTCCAATGGACTGGAGGAAACTCCGGCTCGTGCCTCTGGGCGCTGGTGGCAGGTAAAGACCTATGTGTGTATACTATACAGTATGTATGTACGCGTCTGTGTCCGTACAGGTGTTGATCTATACATTCAGGCATGTGGCATACCGCCATATATATATATATATATATGTATATGTATACATGTCAAAGTGAGGGAGCCGAACGGTCATTCATTGTTTTGGGTCCGTGGCTGAAGTGGGATTTCGCCGCGCGGATTATGCTTGTTGTTGCGTTGTTGTTGTCGTTGTCCCCCCCGCGACCCACCTGCGACCTGCCCGCGACCCACCTGTGACCCATCAGTGACCCACCCGCGATCCACCCCGCGATCCGCCCGTAGCACACCCCGCGATCCGCCCGCAGCCCACCCGCGGCCCACCCGCGACCCACCCGCGACCCACCCGCGACCCACCCGCGTCCCCAGCCCGCGACCCACCCGCGACCCACCCGCGTCCCCAGCCCACCCAAACTGCTTTAAGGCAAGAATTGGCGCCTGCGGCGGGCTTCTTCAGAGCCTCGCAGCCTGCCGGCGCCTCCGTCGCCCCCCCACTCTTATCCTGAATTACGGGGTGTTACGGTATACATGCACACATTTCCCAAACAGCGCCTGAATTTTCGGGTCTTGGATTGTTTTCGAACTACTGGGCTGGTGTGTCGGTCTGGCGGCTATGAAGCCGCCGTCACCGCCCCGTCGCAGCACTGTCGCGGGCCATCGTCTGGTCTGGTTTGTCGGTCTGGCCGCCAAGGAGCCGCCGTCGCCGCCTCGTCGCCGCCCGTCGTTTTGGCCCGTGCGTCGGCCTGGTGGCCGCCATGCAACCGCCGTCGCCGCCCCGTCGCCGCCTCGTCGCTGGGCCGTCGTCTGGGCCATGGCGTTGGTCTGGCGGCTGTGCAGCCGCCCTCGGAGCCTCGCCGCCGCTGTCGGTGTCGATTTTCACTTTACAGCGTTCAGGAGGAGAAAAAACACACAGACACAATTAATCGTCGACTTCCCAGAAAATATAGGAAAATATGGGAAGTGGGGGGGAAGACAGAAACCCAGAAAATATGGGAAAATATGGGGAATCATTTTATTTGTGTGTATTTATGTGTGTGTTCTGGGGCCCCTTCAAGAGTGTTCGTACGTGATTCTGTACACCCGCCCATCCGAAGTATGAATTCGAGCCATCCCAGGCACGCTGGTTATCGACCGCTTCCAGTCATCACTTGCAAAAACGCTGCGAGCCCGCTCGTCCATCGACAGTCATCAGTTTCCGAGACCCCCCCCGCAAAGTATTTGACTAGGTAGACACGGGCGCGTCGTCGCGCGCGCATGCGGCAATCCTTCAAAAACCAAGAGCGTCGCAAGGATTTCAAAAACGAGTTTCCCGGGAACATAGGTTCGCAACATAAATTTTTGATATAAAAACTACGTTCGCGAACTGGTGAGAGTTTTTTTAATCATTGTTTTGCAGATCGGCGCTGGCCATCGCCCGCCCCCTCCCTGGAGTGGATCCTGAGTGTTTTGGGCGCCTGTTTCGAGCAGGTGGGGTCTCCCCCCTCAAGACGCATTGGTGCGAGCAGTCGCTGTAAACAGAGGTCCGGAGCCAGACCACCACCTCCCCCCCCCTTTTCCGTCCAATGTCGAAACGCCCCGCCCCCCCCAAAAACGCGCCAGGCGAATTCTTAAAAAGACCAAAGCGCCTGCAACATGCTCATCACATGCTACCAAGAGTGCCTTTCGCGCGCGCGTGTCGAAGTCATTCGAATGCCCGTGCGCGCGTGCTGGGTTGTAGGGGTGGGCACGGTCTTTGTCAATAGTTCCATGCGGGCCACCTCTGGTTTTTGGCGCCTCCTTGGTTTTCGGCGCCCCTTTCTGGTTTTCGGCGCCCCAGCAGTTTCCGGCCCCCTTTCGGTCTTCGGCGCCCTTTTTTTGTTTTCGGCGCCTTGTCGTTCCACCGAGCTTCAGTAGTTGTTGGCGCTCTTTTGTTTTCGGCGCCCCTTTGGTTTTCGGCGCCATTTTGGTGTTCGGTGCATCTGTAGTTCCCGGGGCTCTTTTGGTTTTCGGTACCGTTTTGGTTTTCTGCGCGCCTTGTGGTTCTCGCCGTATCGTTGGTTTTTTGCGCTGCCTTGGGTTCTGGCGCCCCCTGGGTTTTCGGCGCCCTTTTGGTTTTTGGCGCATCGTGGTTTTCGGCGCCCCTTTTGTTTTCGGCGCTCTTTTTTGTTTTCGGCGCCCAATTTGTTTTCGGTGTCCCTTTTGTCTTCGGTCCCCTTCGGCTTTCGGCGCGCCTGCGGTTTTTGGCGCCCTTTTTGTTTTCGGCGTTCTTTCGGTTGTCGGCGCGTCTTTCGTTTTTCGGCGCCTTTCTGTGGTTTTCGGAGCATAGTTGGTTTTCGGCGTCCCTTTGGTTTTCGATGCTTATTTGGTTTTCGGTGCCTCTTGGAATTTTCGGCGCCCTTTTGGTTTTCGCCTCCGTCAGTTTTCGGCATCCTTTTTGTTCTCGGCGCCCTGTCGGTCCGCCGAGCGGCTGTTGTATTTGGCGTCCCTTGGTTTTCGGCGCCCTTGTGGTTATCGGCGCCATTTTGGTTTTCGGCGCATCGTTAGTTTCTGGGGCTCCCCGTTGGCTTTCGGCGCTCCTTTTGGTTTTCGGCGCCCCTTGGATGTTCGGCGCCTCTTTGGTTTTCGGCGCCCTCTTGATTTTCGGTGTCCCTTTGTTTTTCGGTGGTTTCCAGCGCATCTTTGGTCTTCGGCGCCCCTTTTTGCGTTCGGCGTTCCTCTGGTTTTCGTCATCTTTTGGGTTTTCTGCGCCCCCTTGGTTTTCAGTGCCTCTGTGGTTTTTGGCGCCCTTCGGCTTTTCGGCGCTCTTTTGGTTCTCGGCGGGGCCGTTTTGGTTTTCGGTGTCTTTTTGGTTTTCGGCGCCCATTTTGTTTTCGGTGCCTTTTTGATTTTCGGCGCCCTCGTGGGGTCTCGCGACTCTTTGGGTTTTCGGCGCCCTGTTGGTTTTCGGCGCCCTTTTGGTTTCCGATGTTTTTTTGAAAGTTTGGCGCCCTTTGGTTTTCGGCTCACTGTTGGGTTTCGGTGCTCTTTGATTTTCGGCGCTCATTTGGTTTTCGGCGCTGCTATGGTTTTTGGCGCTCTCATTGGCTTTCGGCGCCCTGCTGGTTTCCAGAACCTTTTTTGTTTTCTGCGCCTCTGTGGTTTTCGGCGTTTGTTTGGTTTTCGGCGCCCTTTGGTTTTCGGCGCTCTTTTGCTTGTCGGCTCTCTTTTGGTTTCCGGCGCTTCTCTGGTTCTCGGTTCCCTTTGATTTGTCGGCGCACCTTCGTTTTTCGGTGCCCTTTTGGTTTGCGGCGTTCTTTTGGTTTTCGGCGCGCCTCTAGTTTTCGCCCCAGTTCGGTTTTCGGTGGCTCTTTGGATTTCGACGCCCTGTCGGTTTTCGGCGCCCTTTTGGTCTTCGGCGCCCCATCCTTTAGCGAAGAAGGGGGGCGGTTCCAAGCCCTCCGCCCCCCCTTAAGCCAAAAGGAGGGGCCGGGGGTGGCCTTCCTGCTGGGGGGGTCAAAAGAGGGGGTGCGGGCGCGGCAGCTGAGTCCCCCTCCCCCCTCTGGAAAGGGAGGGGGGGGTAGCTTCTGGTGGGGGGCTTCCAGCAGGGGAGGTCCAAGGGAGGGTCAGCTTAGTCCCCCCTCCCTTTCGGCAAGGGAAGGGGGGGGGTGGAGCGCGAAAGAAGGGGGGGGGGTCCGAGGGGCGGAAAACAGGGGGGGAGGTCCGGCAGGGGAGGTCCAAGTGGGAAGGGGTAGCTAGGGGGGGGGGGGGGGGCTTTTTTGATGGGGGAGTGCACCGCGGGCGCGCTGCCTCGCAGGAGCACCCCAGGCTGCCTCGTGGGAGCACCCCAGTCCTTGCGCGCGCATAGTTGTCGAAATCATTCGAGCGCCCCCGCGCGCTTGCGGGCGGGGCACGGCCCCTGTCAGATATTCTGGGCCGCTTGCGCCCGCCGGCCGCGCGCGCATGTCTAAATCCTCCGGAACCTTCGTCGCCGACACGTGGACACCATCATCGTCAGCGGTGTGATCACCATCGGCGCCGTCATGGGCCTCGCCGTCGTCATCGTGATCATCAGCACCAGCGTCGTTACTATCTCATCGTGTCTGCCGCTGCCGACGTCGCCATGATGCCGCGCCCGCCTGAGTCACCGATACGCACCGACGTGCCCCGCGTCAGCGCTGCCTGCGAGACGCGCTGGAAAAGTCCCCAGTGGTCGGCGCCACCGCGGTCGCGTCGGTCGCGCCAAACTAGCCAGCCGTTGCGCGCGCGCGAGCCTGCGCGCGCTAGCGCGGCCGCAGAGATGCGCAAGCCAGCGCCAAGCAGGCATCGCCAGCGCCGCCACATGGGTTTTGCAAAACATGTTGCGGGTGGGTGGGAGGGATGCCTTCGTGGGCAATGGAGTTGGCAACTCACTGCAAACAACATTGATTGCACCGCCTAGGCTGCGCAACATATACTGCACCACGTCGATTAGACAACGTACACGATTGGACGCACACATACTTGTGGGGCCCACGTTGGCGACCTCCTTGCATGTGTGTATGCATGCATGCATGCATGCATGCATGCATAAATGTATGTATGCAGGTATGTATGTATGCATGTACGCATGTATGCATGTCTATGTATGCATGTGCACGTATGTTTGCATGCATGCATGTATGCATTCATGCATGCATGCTTGTATGTGCGGATGTATAAATGCAGTGAATGTATGTACGTAGACATGTATGTATGTATGTATGTATGTATGTATGTAGGCATGTATGTATGCAGGCATACATGCACGCATGCATGCATGTATGTATGCATGAATGTATGTATGTGTGTATGCATGCATGCATGCATGTATGTATGTATGTATGCATGCATGCATGCATGTATGTGTGTGCATGCATGTATGTATGTACGCATGTACGTATGCATGCATGCATGTGTGCATGCATGTATGCATGCATGTATGCATGCATGTATGTATGCATGTATGTGTGTATGTAAGTATGCATGTATGTATGCATGCATGTGTGTATGTTTGTATGTATGTATGCATGCATGCATGCATGTATACACATACGCATTTATACACACATTCATGTACTTGTATATACATGTATACCTGGACATGGATATGGATGTGGTGATACGTTTCCGGTTCTGGGTTGCTTGGCGGGTCCTTTACGCATCAAATACGAGGTCGACGCCCCCCACGCACACAAAGACACGGGATCGCCCGAAGGGTGGTCTATGCGGTTCGTCCGTCCCAGCAGTTTTGCCGCAGTCTGCCGTCGCTGAACTCTCGGGATCTTCGGGGCCTGGTGGCTGCGGGGTGCAGGGCGGGCGAGGCGGCACTCGCAGGGATCGCCTGGAGTCTCGGGGCCCGGCGGCCGCGCTGGTTGCGTGGAGTGGGCGGGGCGGAGCGGGCGATGCTCGGAGGTCCGCGCGGAGCTCGCGGGTCGGCGCCGTGCCCTCCTTGCGGCGCCTCTGGCGCCGCCCCTGCCGCGCTCCGCGCGCCAGGGAGGCGGGTCCGGCGCCAGCCCGAGAGCTCCGCGTGGACCTGTACGTTTTCAAGCAGTGGCGAAGCGTCCTGGCTCGCCTGTAGCCCCACCAAGCAATGTTCTAAGAACGTTTTTTTGTGGTTTCCACGAGATGTTCCTAGAACATTTCTGGCGGAGTCTGTCTCGTTTGAACTCATCGGGCTTATGTTCTAAAAACATTGTTTGTGTTCTTAGAACATGTCTGGGTTCTCAGAACATATCGTGGTAGGACTATAGAAATGCCGGGACGGTCGGTCCCTGCTCAATGTACGTTTGCCGTCTGTTGTCCAGGTTCTCGTGGTCAGCATGGCCTGCACCTTCACGGCCAACAGCGGACTGATCGGTGGATCCGGGAAAAGATTTGGGTCAACGGTTCAAGATATTGCCATTGGCATCACTGCCGTCATCGTGATCATCATGTGGATATCGCAGTGGATGGGCGTCTCTGTGGTAACTCTCCGGAGTTTGGACTATTGGTATTCTGCGTTTATGGCTTGCCTGGTCGCCTACATGTCACCGTTTGCCATCCGGGCTGATTTGGTAGCCTATCGCATGAACGTTTCAATATGGTTTGTTTTCCTTTGTCTTTTCAATCTGAAGCCGTGGTTTAATTTCATATGGTTGCTGATGATTAGCAGCACGTTCTGCTGCACGCTATTGTTTGGGGATCGCGCCGAGAGTATGAAGGTCGCCGATTATAATTCTCAATCGGCCTTAGCTGACTGGCTGCAGAACTTTTGTGCCGTGGTCCTCGTGCTTCTCTTCTTGAACCAGCTGCTGACCTACATCGCGCGCCTGGAGCTAGATACCAAGTTCTCTCGGAACGAGCTGGCGGCTGCTACGTCGGTCCTCACCAGTGTATGCGAGGTGGTGGTTGACCTCGACGACAAGTTCAGGCTGCAGAGGCATTCGCGGGAGTTGACTGACATGCTTTTCCTGAATCCCCAGCGCAGGCTTTGCCAGGAGGACATCCGCTCTTTCTTGGCATCGGAGTCCGACCGCAGAAAGTTCTCGAGGCAGATGGGGCAGATGGTGTTGCCAGACAGTCCAGAGGATGGTCCACACCCGAGCAATACCTTCCAGGTGTCGATGAAGGACAGCACGGGCAACTCTGTGAACGTGAACGTGATCGCCGTCTGCTACACTGGCCGGGACGGGGTCCATGCGTTCATGGTGGGAATCGTGGAGGTCTGCGATTCGATGCCCTTGCCCAGTTTGGGGAGCACGCTGGAGACCAGGCGCCAACGACAGCGCAGGCCCAGGCAGGACTCGGCGGGGCCACAGGCATCAGGAGGGGAAAACAGACACTGACAAATGAACGTCGAGTCCCAGACAGCTCAGGGAAAACAGGGGAAGTGAATGGGGAAGACTCGGCGGGGCTAGGACGAGGATAAATCCGTTCCAGAGCGTTCGGGAACGCTCTCAGAGCGTTCCACAACCCTCTTGGAGGGCCGCGGCGCCCGGGACATCCTCCTGAACCGCCGGATCTCAGAGATCTTCGACATACCATATATCCTCGACCTGGCTTCGCCTTAAAAGGCGACGCTCCAGAAAACATTTCCAAATACGAGGAATCCTGGAACCTGCGTCAGCTTGCGCGTGCCTCCCCTCCACCCAGGAGGGAAAGACAGACACAGGCACTCATTACCGTCGATTCCCCTGAACCATACGTGAAGATACGGGAAGAGGAGGGGAAGACAAACGTGCAGAAAGTCTTGACGGATATGGTGAATCCTTGGAGCTTGTGCCGATTGGTGCGCGTGGCTTCCCGGGCCCCCTCCCCAGGCAGCACCCCCCGCAGCGCCCCTCGGCCCGCCCGAGGAGGCCGAGGAGGCCGAGAGCAGCGGCAGCGGCAGCGGCAGCGACCCGAGCGCCCTGGGCCTGGAGCAGGCCTCGGGCCTGCCGTGCGGTCCGAGCCCCGCGCTTTCGGGGCTGGTGAGCGTTTTCTGTGTCCTCCCCACAGTGCTCGTTTCGATTCCTCCGATTCGATTCGATTCGACTTCGATGGATTCCGATTCCGATTCGATTCGACTTGGGCTTCCGATTTGGATTCCGATTTCTTACTGGAGGCATACTAGCCTGCCGATTTCCTCCGATTCGACTTTTCCCGATTCGGCTGCCGATTTCCGCCGATCCGATTCATGTCGAATGCCGATCCGATTTATCGATCCGATCCTGGGCTCTCCTGGGGTACAGTCGGGCTTGATTGGAGAGGACACGCGAGAGGACAGAAGACCCTTGCGAGTGCCACGTTGCCATCTGGAATGTAGGAGGCATGGGTCGCGAGACGCTGGCAGGATCGACCTACTAATCCCGGCCACCTGTAACGCTCGTGACCTGGGCCAAACCTCCCCCGCCCACACCCCTGCGGGGTGACGCTCACGATCGTGCTGGGGGGAGGCCCTGGACCCCTGCCCCTACATGCTGTGGTGCACACAGGCGATTGATGCGCCGGTGGCGCGGAACCACCCTGGCGGGTGCACGCCGCGGCCGCCGTTCCGTGACCCTCCCGCCCGAAACCCCTTCCTTCTCCGGTTAACGACCGTTATCGGAGAAAAAAAACAAACGGTCACCTGGCGACAGTCAGGGGTATTTTCGAACTCGCAGATCCCAATCTTCTTCAAGCGCCGTCCTACTTCAAGAAACAATGTGTTTGTGTGTGTTTTTTGTTTGGTGGTTCGGAGGGCCTGAGCACAAGCTGTACTCCATCCGCCTTCCTGCTCCATGTTTTTACCTGCTTCCTCCGACCGACGGGTGGCTTCGGCCACGCGCAGAGCGGGGTGGAGGGACAGGCTTCTCAGAAGCAGTGTGCTTCTTATACCGCGCAGGCCTTGTCGATGGATGTGAGGCTGGCGCCTTTGAGAAGCAGCCTCCTTCTAAGAAGCCTTCCCCCCTCCCCCTGTCCCCCTCCGCGCGCCACCAATAGCTGCAGATTTGGGTTTCCACACTGGAGTTGCCCTGTACCGCAGTCATCCTGGACAAGTCGGGCGTCCAATCCTGCCGAATCATTGGGGCTGGGGGCAGTCAGGGGTAGTCACAGATTCGCGCCTCGGGGTTCCACACCAGAGTTGCGCCCGAGCACAGTTCTCCCGTTATCCCGGGCAAGTCGGGCGTCCAACCCTGCCGAGTCATCGGGATTGGGGCCAGTCAGGGGTAGCTGCGGATTCGCGCCTCGGGGGTTCAAAATTAGGGTTGCCCCCGACCGCAGTTATCCAAATCATTCGGGCATCCGAGGCGGAGGGTGAGCATCTCGCCGTCTGGATCAACATGGCCTCGGCTGGCTATTGAAGACGCCCACGGCGAATCACCGTCGCCCCCCTGCCTGGAGGCCATGTTGGCCCACCCGGGCCGTCGTAGTGGCGATTTGGACCATGAGAAGGGAATTTCAGGAGCTTTCCGGGTGGCGTGGCCGGCGCGCTGGGCCGAAGCCCCAGGGGGAGAGCTAAAAGAACCAAAACTCTTGAACTTCAGCACGCCAGGCACCCCTGTGGCAAGCCAACAGGGGGCGGCGGATCAAGTGGGTCAATGGCCTCTAGCATGGTGAGCATTCTTTTATTTTTTTTTGCTTTCGGCGGAACGCCCCTCCCCCCCCTCCCCCCCCCCCCGTAGAGAAGTTCCGGGCTGATTTTAGCACCTGCTTCAATCGATCGGACGAACTACAGGGGCCGGCGCCCCCCCCCCCCCCCTCCCCCGGTAGAAACTCGAATCGCTGATGTGTGCAACTGTGCGCATTTTATCGTGCTACTCTTCTGGAACCACAACGAATTGGCTCAGGGGCGCCGGACCCGATCGCCAGAAAGCATGCCTCCGGCTGGGCCCTCCCCTGTTATGCCAGCGACGGCCTCGTGGAATCATGAATAGGTGATCCCTAGCAATTCTGGCACAGGCTTGCCAAATCACGCATAGCCTTGGCGCAGCCCCGCGCAGCCGCTGCGCGATTCCTCCATGGGGGGTCCCCCCTAGGATTCCCTCATCGGCATCTCCCACAGGATTCCCCACATGATTCAATCGGAGGCATTGACTACGGGCCGAGAGCCGGACCCCCCCCCCCTCCCCCCCATGCGCCTAAAGCCGGAACCCAGAATAAAAAAATGCTCACATGTTCGTTGGGTTGTCGCGGGCAGCCTCTCGGGGGCCTCTGGGGAGCCGTTTTGAGCCTCTAGGGCTCCGTCTTGGGGTGCTCTTGGGGCGTCTTCGGGGCCTCTTGGGGGTCTCTTGGGCCCACTCCGTGCCCAGCGGCACGGTGGCGGATGAGATGCTGCACTTCACCCCCAATTTCCACCACGTGTTCGGCCCCTGCGGACTGGGCGAGGACTTCCTGCCATGGGTGAAGAGGAATCAGAGCGAGCAGTTCGTGTCGTGGATTCAAACGTCGTGGCTGAGCCTGTCCGAGGGGGACGTCTCCATCGAGATCTTCCCCCGCTCCCTCCTCTTCCTTCCGACCCAGCTGCGCCAGCACAGGCTCGCGTTCTTGGCCACGGTGTTCCTGGACCAGGCTCAGGAGAAGAAAAAACACACAGACACAAGCAATCGTCGACCCAGGAAGATATGGAATAGGTAAAAATGTGGAAAGTGGGGGGAAGACGAAAACCCCCAAAATGTGGAAAACATGGGGATTGTGTGTATTTCTTTGTGTGTCCCTGGGCCCCCTCTACAGGCCTCATGCCCGGCCGAGACTGAGCCGAGCAGAACCACCGTGCGGCTGACCTTCAGCAACGTCAGGCGCGTGACGGCCGGGGCAGGCGGCCGACGAAGCCGACGCCGCAGCAGGACCCCGGGAGTGGCCGCGGATGGGCAGGACGGGCACTTCCACCTCTCGATTTGAGCCCCTGGCCGCGGCCGCGGCCAGCGCGGCGTGGCCCGGAGTCCCCCGCAGCCATTTCCTGCGCTGGCGCTTTCTCACGCCGAAGAAGCATCCGAGCATTATCATTGGGTGGAGGGCAAGGGGTGAAGCCTGAAAGGCCGTTCCAATTGATTTTCGAGGCTCGGATTATCTGCAAAAAAGTGGATCACGAGGCGGATGTATTTATTTTTTCGGGTTGCCAAAGCCCACATTGATTTTACCCTGAGCCCTGGACCCCAAGGAAATTCTCAGAGCATGGTCGCGTCCGAAGAAGCGGCAGAGCCTCCGCGTCGGGCCCGCGGGGCGGGGCTCTCCAGGGAGTGAGCACTTTAGTAGGGCAGGCTTCTCCTCCTCCTCCTCCTTCCTCCTCTCCGCCTCCTCCGCCTCCTCCTTCTCCTCCTCCTCCTCCTCCTCCTCCTCCTCCTCCTCCTCCCCCTCCTTGTAAGCCTCCTCCGCCTCCTTCTCCTCCTCCTCCTCCTCCTCCTCCTCCTCCTCCTGCTCCTCCTTGTAAGGGGATCACACATTCTTGCGGACGCTCCACCTCCTCCTCCTTCTCCGCCTCCTCCTTCCCCTCCCCCACCTGTCAAAAGCTCCGTGCGCGAGCGCATGGTGTGATTGTCGATGCTTCATCAACAAACCTTGAAGCATTGTATGCTTTAGGTGATCCAGCCGCGCCGGGAGAAGGAGAGGAGGTGGAGCGGAAATGGCCTGTCCCAGGAGCGAGCGTTTTGGTAGGGCAGGTTTCATGGTGTGAGTGTTGATGCTTCACCAGCAAACCTTGAAACGTTGTATGCTTGAGGTGATCTAACAACGCTGGGAGTAGGAGAGGAGAGGGAGCGGAACGACGAAGAAGATACAAGGTGCGCCTCGGTCATGCAATTGGTTTGCCGGAGCGTGAGCTTCAGGGTTTGTCGGTGCGCCTCGGGCATACACTTCTCGGGATGCTCTCCAGGCGAGCTAGTGAACAAGGTGTTTGCGGGAGAGAAACAAACAACAAAATGGTGTGAATGTCGATGTTTGCGTCGCGAATTCATAGATGGGGGCGCCACTGGACGCACGCTAGAAATAATGGACACTCCAGCCTTTCAAGAGTGGGGTGTAGGGGAGGATCACTTCTCTCTGGAGGGGGGGAAGAAGCTCCAGCCATTCGCGACCTATCTCCTTCAACTCCCTCTGCCCAGGGCGGCTGGTAGGACTGAATCAGGCAGTTTTGCGGTGTGAGTTTGTTGTGCAGTTCAGTGCAATAACGGGCAGGGTACACCATATGACGTATCTGCATGTGATGTTATGCCCTGGCGTTACGTGTGGGGCTGGGAGGGACCGCTCCTGAACAATCGTCGCCGCAGCTCTTCGAGTTGCGTGGTGTCCTCACATGCCTACGGATTGGGGACACAGCTTGGTTCTGCCCCCGGGACTGATTCAGGACATTTTGTAGCCCACCTGCGTGATTGCTGGCCCCGGAGGAGCTGTCGGACGCGGTGGTTTTTATCCAGGGCTTCAAGCCTGTTCTGCTGGAGGACGCCGTTGCGGCGCGCTGGATTGCCTCTCCTCTGCGATGGGCCTCCTCAGATGCTGCTACGCTCAAGTCGGGCCTGTCCCTCTACAGGGGGAATATTCGAAAATAGTAAAAAAAAACGCCTGGGGACTATGTTTTGATTATTGTTGGGCATCTTTTGGGGTATTTTCTGAGTATTCTTTATTTTTCGCCCAAAATCCCCCTGTAGGGGGACAGGCCCGACCTGATGCCACTACGCCTAAGGCAGTCTATGGCGCTGCGGTGCGTCCCCTGCGTGAGGAGGATGGGGCAAGTTTTGACGTTGCAGTGAGGCTCCCTGGGGGGTCCTCGTCGCGACGGCTGTATTGCCAAATCCTGGTCAGAGCGCGCTCGTGGACAGGTCTTCGTGCCGAGAGAATCAGGTAAAAGTCGGAGGACGATAGGGAGGGTGAGGAGGAGGAGGAGGAGGAGGAGGTGGAGGAGGAGGATGAGGAGGAGGAGGATCTCAACGGATGTCGGTTAGAGCGCGGGAGGGTCTCCATCACTTGGGGGCGTCGCTTGATGAATGGAGGTTCCAGCCTCGTGACCTGAAAGGGGGTGGGCGGTGGGCAGGCAGGGCGTGGAGGTGCTTACCGTCAACCCGCATAACAAGCATGGGCAACCTTCCCAAGGGTACCCTTGCATCCCTGCCCCTTCGACCCATCCTTCGCCACTTTTGTTGGCCGCACCCCGCTCGCAAAGCTTCGAAGTGGGGCATCCTTATCGCGCATCCTTATCGTACGGGCCGACGGTAGTGTGGAGCACTGGTCGATATTCCTCCTCCGAGTGTTTTTCTCCTCAACCATCCTCTGGTGTTGGGTCCTCGTTTTGAAGAGACGGTCCTCGCGTCCCTCCTCTTCTCCTCTCATTCTTTCTCCTCCCCCTCCTTCCCCCTCCTCTCTCCTCTCGTCACCCTGTCACTTTGGCACACCCTCACACGTTTCGTGGCCCCATGCGGAGCTCCACCCAAGGTCCCAGTGGCGCAGTTCTAGAAGGAGAAGGCCTTCTCGGAAGGCTCGGGAGTCCCCCAGCCTTCCGAGAAGTTTTCTAAGCTTTTCCCGAATACATCAAAACATTATCAGAAGGCCAGAGGGCTTCTGAGAAGTCCCGCCGCCTTCTGAAAATGCCTTCTCTTTCCCACTTCCCCCCCCCCGCTCGCAGCCGAGCTATTCTCCCAGAAAAGGCGTGCAACCGAACAAACATCAGTGACCGAAACCCTGCCTGAGATTACAGTGGAAGCCCATGCCAAGAGTCACCCTGCTCGCCTCCAGGGTGCCCTGGGGTTCTTGGGCTTCGATGGTTTTGCTATGGAAGGTGTGGCGTACCCACACCAAAATCAATGGAAGGTCCTGGGGTCTCAGGGCTGCGTTTCTTGTGGAAGGTTTCTTGTGGTGGGGCCCCCACTGTATCTCCGAAAAGGCGTATGATCGAACAAACATCCGTGACGAAAACCTGTCCGAGATTATGACCGAACGCGTTGTGCGACCGAATTTGTGACCGACAGCGAGCCTCGAATTTCGGTCACCCTCCGGCGCGTTCGGAAAAAGTCGGGCGCCGGTTTCGCTCACACAGGCAGTGCTTCTGGCTCCGTTTGGGTTACTACAGCCTCCTAATAGCGACGACCTCGAACCTCGAGCCTCGAACCTCGATGAACCCGGGACCACGAACCCCAGGCTGCGTCAGAACCCCGAACCTCGAACCTCCAGGATCCGCTCCCCGCTCCCTCGAACCTCGGTCCTCGAGAACCAGTTCTTCACCTCCACCGCCGACGCGAAGCGAAGCGACGCGAAGCGAGCCAGTGACCGCCGAGCGTGAGGCCAAGAAGGCCAGCGCGTGTGGGCCGGAACCCTCGATTGATCGTAGTCGAAGTCGGCGTGGCGAGGTTAAGGAGGAGAAGACGTAAAGGGGGGTGCTCGGCATCCAGCGTCGGTGTCCGAGAGAGGTGGGGTCGCACTCCTCCATCACTGTGCAAGCCGCGCTGCACACCAGAAGCAGGAGGCCGAGAGCCAGCATCTGGGAGCCAGAAGGTGCAGGGCCCAGACATGCGACGCCCTGATTTTTCAGCACGGGGTCCCGACTGTCTCCCAGGGCACAGGCCCCGAGGCCCGCTCAGGGCCCCTGGAGGCCGAAAGTCGGGACAACCCCCCCGCTTGGATTTTTTCTCCGCGACGCGAGCATGTCTGAGGGTGGAGGTCGGAGCCTGGGCGCTGGAGCAAGCCCGCTGGAGGATCTGGAGCCCCTGCGGCCGAAGACGCCGCGAGGTCCGCTCCCGCCCCCCCCCCCCCCGGCGCCCTCTGCCGCAGAGGCCCGCGAGCCCGCGGGCGGCGGCGGCGAGGGCGAGGCGGCCGCGGGGGAGGCGCGCCCGGCCCGCGGCGCGCGCGCGGCGCCTCCCCCTTTTGTTCGGGGGCGGCAGAGAGGGGGTTGGCGACGGGGGGGGGAGATCATGGCGTGGGCCATGATACCTCCCCAGATTTCATGGCGCCTCCTCTTGTTTTACTGCGTCCCCGGCCTCCCCCCCCTGGGCCGCGCACGTGCCGCTGGCCATGATTTGCACCCGCCCCTCTTGGACGCCCCCCTCTTGGCCGCCCCCGACTCGTCCCTGCCAGGGGCGGGGTGTCCACCGAACCCTTGAGAGCTGGGTGTGCCTTTTGGCGGGCTCCACGCGCCAGGGAGGGGGGTGCAGCGCCGATCCGAAAAGTCGCGCAGACCTCCGAGTCGTCATGTGTATGCCATTTCCTTGTCTCCTGATGTTTGTTGGGCGTTCTGGCAAAAAGAATCAACGCCCAACCGGGTCAGTCACCTCCTCACCTGCACCACGCGGTTCCATTTCGGCACGAATTGCTCAAGTGATTCCAGCGCACCTGTCAGGGCAGGGATCCACGTCGCCAACCAAGCGCAAATTGTTCATGTCTCTGGACGATGCTGCCCCCGACCTCGAGCGGCAGAAACTGAGATCCACGGTTGTCCACGCAGCAGTTGTAGTTTTGCCCTGACTGGGACGACCGATGCCCAGACGTGGTGACGTGCCAGCAGGCGCCCACATCTCCACGGTGCAATAGGTGCAGCCGCAGGTTGCGGGAAGTGTTCACCTGGCATCAGGTGTTTTTGTTGTCGGTTGGCGGAAGCAGGAGGGCCACACTTGGCGCTTGCTGCCCAGAGATCGGCGCGACCTGCGCTGCCGAGGTTTTGAAGCAGAGTTTTATGGCACCTCGTGCTGACACGCTTGATCATAATTTCCTGTTGCTTCACCTGCCTAGAGACGAAGCACGCCGCCCATCACCGAACGCGTTCCACTGCTCGCAAAGTGCCCACTCGCCAACGTCCGAGAAAAACATGGTTGCATGGATCGTGCATCCCCTGCGGTGAATCCAGGCCATTTGCGAGTAGATACTTCGCGAATGGTGGATCGCGCTTCTTTAGGGAAGCACGTCTCAGTGGCACCGCTCGAGGAAGCGCAGACATGGATCAGGGCGCGTGGATCATCGGCGGGCCCCGCTTCCGTGCGCAATCGGCGCGCTCCGTCGCTAGCTCAGGTGGCATTGGCATTGGCCATCTGCGAATATACACTCTCCGAGTAGTTGTCGTCCACGCGCAAGGCGGGGGGGGGTATTGGGAATGGGGGGGAGGTTTTTAGAAGTACCCCTGTTTCTTAGAAGGCGCGGGCCGTGTCTATGGATGCAGGGCCAGCGCCTCCTGAGAAGCAGCTTCCTTCTAAGAAGCCTGCCCCCTCCCCCATACCTCCTTTTGTGCGCGCGGCCAAAGCTACCCGTCGGTCAGAAGAAACAGGTACACACATCATGGCGTAGGACGGCGGATAAAGTAGGAGGGTGCGCCGCTGGATCTCCCCAGGGGGGGGGGTAGGACCCCACCCCTCCCCCCCTTCCCCGATCCGTCGTCGGGGACCCCCCCCCTCCCCCCCTTCCCCGATCCGTCGTCGGGGACCCCCCCCCCTCTCCCCCCCTTTCCCCTCTTTCAAAAGGGGGGGGGGCGGGGTCCCCCCTTTCGCCACGCCGCCCCCTGACTCCAGAACCCGACCCCCGCCACCCCTACAACTAGACAGACTACTCGCTATTCGCTACTCACGTCCCACTACCCCCTACTCACTACTCACGACTCACTACTCACTATCCACTATTCACCACCCACCACCCACTACTCGCTACTTGCTGTCCCTACTCACTACTCCCTCCTCCCTACTCACTACTCGCTACTCACTCCTCACTACCCACTGCTCAATACTCACTACTCACTAGCTTTAAGCACTACTCACTAATCACTACTCATTACCCACTATCCACTACTCACTACTCACTACTAACTACTCATTGCCCACAAATCACGATCCACTACCCACTAGTCGCTACTCACTACTCCCTACACAATACTGACTACACAGTATTCAGTACCCACTACTCGCTACTCCCATACTCGCTACTCAATACTCACTACTCACTTCCCGCTACTCACTATTCACTACTCACTACTTACTACTCCCTACTCGCTACTCACGACATAGTCTCTAGTTACTAGGCACAACTCACTAGTCACTACTCACTACCCACTACCCACGATTCACCAATCGCTACTCACTACCCACTATTCGCTACCCACTTCTTACTACTCACTGCTCACTACTCCCTACTCACTACTCACTACTCGCTACTCCCCACTCGCTACGCACTAATCACTACCCACTACTCACTACTGACTACTCTCTATTCACTACTCACTACTCACTACGCCCTACTCGCTTCTCACGACTCACTACTCGCTACTCCCTATTCGCTATTCACTATTCACTACCCACTGCCACTACCCACGACTCTCTATTCATCACTACTGATTAGTCACTACGCACTACGTATTACTCGATACTCACTATTCACTACTCGCTACTCAGTACTCACTACTCACTATTCTCATCACGCACTACGCACCACCCACTACTCAGTACTCACTAATCACTACTCGCCACCCACTACTCACTACGCACTAACTCACTACCCACTACTCATTACTCCCTACTCAGTACTCACTATTTGCTACTCGCTACTCACTACTCACTACTCACTACTCGCCACTCACTGCTCACTTCTCAGTACACACTACTCACTAGTCACTACTCACTACTCCCTACTCCTTACTCCCTCCTCGCTCACTACTCACTACGCACTAACTCACTACTCACTGTCACCACTCCCTACTCCCAACTCCGTACTCCCTACACGGGGGGGGGGTCCGAACCCCCCCCCTTTCCAACGCCAAGGGGGGGAGGGGAGGGGGGGCTCTAGACCCCCCCTCCCCGTCAAGGGAGGGGGGGGACCCCCCCCCTTAGTGTATCCAGGGAAATCCATTGGCGCACTTTCATAAAGTAGACTGGGGCTCTCAGGCCCTCCGAGAGAACAGCCACACAGCACAAACACATTGATTGTTGAAGTCGGAATCCGTTTGAAGCAGGAAGGCGCTGTAACGCGCTGCTCTAGCCGAATCGGCTTCGTAGCCCTCGTGGCTAGGATTCTCGGAGCTCGTCGCCTGCGACCGTTGGCGTCACAGCGCCCGTGCGCGGAGTGACCTCGGCCCCCTGGAGGGGCGTCGGCGGAGAGGGGAAGGGGAAGACGGGGGGGGGAGGAGGAAGAGGGAGGGGAAGGGGAAGGGAGAGAGGGAGGAGGAAGGAGAAGAGAGAGAGGAGGGGGAAGGGGAGAGGAGGGGAGGAAGGGGGAAAAGAGGAAGAGGAGGGGGAGGCGGAAGAGGAAGAGAAATGAAGAGAGGGAGGACGAGCATACAAGCAACATGAGAAGGAGGAGGGGAGGAAGAGGAGGGGGATTGGAGAGGAGGAGAAGGAGGAGGGGGGGATGATGAGATGAGGAGGTGGAGGAGGAGGAGGAAGAAGAGGAGGAGGGAGGGGGGGGAGGGAACACGAGGAGGAGGAGGAGGATGGGAGGAGGAGGAGGAGGAGGAGGAGGAGGAGGAGGAGGAGGAGGAGGAGGAGGGGGGGAGGCAGGAACACGAGGAGGAGGAGGAGGATGAGGATGAGGAGGAGAAACGTTGAGGAGGAGAATGGGGGCAGGATAGTACAGAAGCGGGGGGGATGTGAGTTGGAGGAGGAGGAGGAGGAGGAGGAGGAGGAGGAGGAGGAGGAGGGAGGAGGAGGAGGAGGAGGAGGAGGAGGAGGAGAGGGAGGAGGAGGAGGTGGGCAGAGCATTTGAAGTTGTGCCACGCATGACCCGCGATTTCAACGACTGCGGCGCGCCCCGCCCTTCTGCCCCCAGCTGGCGCAGGGGAAGAAACCCAGGAAGAGAAAGAAGGACACATCCGGCGGCGCCTGCCCCCCCCCGCCAGTGAGCGGGGCTCCCAGGAAACCAGGACGTGGCAAGCTAGGGTTTCGCCGCGAGGGGAAGCGGGGAACGAGGAGCGCCTCGACCCCACGGCTGCAGTGTTTTCTCGCTTGCCAGCACACTGGTTTGTCAGGAAGTCCCCGTCTGGCGGGTCCCGACGTGATGATTCCTCGCTTTGAAGAGGGAAACAAGAAGTGGCATAAACATAAAAACTCAGAGGTCCGCGTGGAACTCTCGGATCGGAGCTGGGACCCCCTGGCGGCGCCGGCGCCTCCGGCGCCGCCGCTGGCGCGCTCCGCGCGCCAGGGATGGGGGTCCAGCGCGGATCCAAGAAATTTGCGTGGATCTCCGAGTTTTTATGTTTATGCCATTTTTCGTTTCCCTATTGAAGGAAGGGGTCGGCGGCGCGCAGAGGGGGGTGGAGGGAGGGGGGAAAGCTTCTCAGGAGGAGGCTACTTCTTAGGAGGCGCGGGCCTTACATCTACAGAAAAGGCTCGCGCCTTTTAAGACGCAGGGTGCTTCTAGGAACCCGTCCCCCCCCCTCCCCCCCTCTGCGCGTGGCCAAGCCGGGTCTGAGGGAGTCTGGTTACTGGAGATGTTTTCTGCCGCCTTCGGCTTTCCAGCGCCCCCCGTTGGGCCCAAAGACCGCCAAGAGAACGATATTGAGGGCGAAACGTTGGTCGTCAGGGGGATCCCTGTGATCTAGGCCCCGAGGTGATAATCCCTCGGGGGGCTTGAGGGAATCGGGTCACGGGAGTTTTTCTCACGCATTCGGCCTCCAGGCGCTACCTTTTGGGCCCGAAGACCGCCAAGCAAACGATATTGAGGGCGAAACGTTGGCCTTGGGGAAATCCTGTGATCTAGGCCCGTGATCCTGCGATAGTTCGCTTGGTGGCGTTGCCTTGTGTGTCAGTTGAGATCGACAAGCAGGCCGGGCAGCACAAAGCGAAAGATCGCGATGTTGGGAGGGTTTGCCAGTGCACGCACTTGGTTGAGGCTTATGTATCATATTCTCGCTCTGGTGTCCCTGGGATCGGAGTGAACTCGGAATAGGGGATCTCTCGAGTCTGCACGAGCTCAGAAACGTGAGGACTCTGAGCACTCTCTGGCACAAGCCTGCCCTGGCTGGTGCGCCGCGCCGACGAGCCCCAGGCGAGTTTCACCCGTCGAGGCCGAGTGCGATGCAAAGTACAGTCAGCACGGACAGGAAGGGGGATGCCGTCCTCCGTCCCTCCCACCTCGTCCCCCCTCGCCCACGACGCACCGTCGGTGAGTCTCGCTGCGGGAGTCGGGCATCGACCTGTCTGTGCAACGGGTCGCGCCGCTCACGTCGGCAAAAGACTGGCAGTTGATGCTCGATCGCAAAACTCCATGCCTGTATCTCCATGTTCGACCCTGCTCTGCTGCTGGCTTCGAGTGTGCCGGCCCAGTCGGGTCCCTCGTCCACCCTGTCTCTTCCCCCCCAGCCGTATCCCTTCTGCGCCCTTCGCCTCCCCTCGCCCACGCCTCCCCCTCGCCAGGTGTCCTCCTCCTTGAGGCGCGCGTCCCAGGCTTGGTGGCCACAGGTGAACCTTACCCCCCACCCCCCCTTGGAACTCGTGGCGGGTGGGGGTGGGGTTCGCACGTGGCCACTGTCAGACCCCACGCAGACCCTGCACGGAGGAGGCCACCACCACTGGCACTGTCTGTCGTCGGAGCTCTCGCTTCGGAGGATGGGGCCACCAAGGCTCGCCAGGGGGGAAACGGGTCCTGAGGGAAACCTCGGCATCGCTCGGACGCGTGCAGTTTGTTTTGGCGAGAGCCATCGAGGAATCTCCCCCCGGCCCCGGGACGGTCAGAGAACGGCTCAGGATAGGTCTCGTCCTGGGGGGGAGGTTCCGGTTTTCAAGACCCGTTTCGTTCGTTTCCCATTTCCCCCATACTAAAGCCCACGGAGTCACGCTTCGGATGATGAGGCCAGCAAGGTTTGGCGGCGCGCGCGAGAGGGTGGTGCGAGGTGGGCGGCCTCCTCGGAGGGCGGGGGGCTTCTGAGAGGGCAGAGGGCTTCTTCGAGGCCCTGTCAGCCTGAGAATGGCCTGAGAGAGAGAGGGAGAGAGAGAGAGAGAGTCGGTGGCCACATTCGAACCCTACCCCCAACTCCACGAATTCTGAGGGCGGGGTGGGGGTTCACTTCGTTCGCGAGCTCCAGCGCGGAGTGAAACCCCAACCCCTCCTTAGAAATCGTGTGGGGGGGTTCACAGGTGGCCACCCAGAGAGCCAGCGTGGCGCGAGGACAGGAAGAAGCGCGGCTCCGAGGACCCCGGCGCCGCCGGCGCAGCTTCCGCCGCCAGGCAGTGCCAAGGGGGGTCAGCGCTGCGTAGGGGGTCGTCGGCTCCGCCTGCGGGTCAAGGCTCCAGGATGGAGGGGGAGGAGGAGGAGGAGGAGGAGGAGGAGGAGGAGGAGGAGGAGGAGGAGGAGGAGGAGGAGGAGGAGGAGGAGGAGGAGGAGGAGAGGAGGAGGAGGAGGAGGAGGAGGAGGAGGAGGAGGAGGAGGAGAGGAGGAGGAGGAGGAGGAGGAGGAGGAGGAGGAGGAGGAGGAGGAGGAGGAGGAGGAGGAGGGAGGAGGAGGGAGGAGGGAGGAGGAGGAGGGAGGAGGAGGAGGAGGAGAGGGGAGGGGGAGGAGGAGGAGGAGGGGGGGGAGGAGGAGAGGAGGAGGAGGAGGAGGAGGAGGAGGAGAGGAGGAGGAGGAGGAGGAGGAGGAGGAGGAGGAGGAGGAGGAGGAGGAGGAGGAGGAGGAGGAGCAAACACCACAGGTACAGATAGACGTCGATTCCCACGAAAACACGGGAACTATGGGGAGTGGCGGGGAAGACGAAGATCCAACAATCAGCAAAACATAGAAAGAATCCTGTGATTCGTGTCTGCTCATTTGTGTGTGTGTGTGTGTGTGTGTCTGGGCTCCTTTGATCGAGGAGGACGTGGATGTTTGGGCATGCTCCGGGGTGTCTGGGCGAGTCCTGCGGGGCCCTCGCCCTGGAGAAGTTTGCGGGGCCCCGCCAGCTGTCGCCATGACCTGGCATCGCTCCGGCGGGGGCCCTCGAGGAGCATCCTTGGGTTACATCAGTCGGGCCTGTCCCTCCCAAGGAGGAATGTTCAAAAACAGTCAAACAGTAGTCCGGGGACGATTATTTGATTCGTTTTTTGGTTACTGTTGCCTATGTTTTGACTACTTTAAAGTTTCCGCCTGCAACCGCCTGTAGGGGGACAGACCCGACTTCATCCTTGGGCGTTCAGGAACGAGGGGGGCGACAAACGGGAAGGACGGGAAGCGTGCACCTTCCGTGCCCCCCCTTGGGACCCAGGGGGGCCCCAAGAAACACACTGCTTGCCTCCAGGGTGCCCTGGGTTTCTTGGGTTTCGATGGTTTTGCGATGGAAAGCGTAGCGTTCCCACACCAAAGATCCATGAGCGTCCCAGGGTCTCAGGGTTGGGTTTCTTGCGGCAGGTTCTCGTGGTCGAGATCCTACTGTATGGCCCCTTTTGGGCACGAAGGCTGCACCTTTCTTCACCCCCCATTCATCGCACCCCCACCACGACGCCCAACATCCTGGAGCACCTTGCGGAACAACACCGCACGAGACCGACAGCTGCACGGGGAATGTATTAGAAGAAGAAAAAGCGGCATAAACAGAAGTTGTTTACGCTCCGCGCGGATTTCTTGGATTGGCGCTGGGGCCCCTCCGCGCGCCAGGGAGGGGGGCCCAGCGCGGATCCAAGAAATCCTCGCTGACCTCGGAAAGTGTATGTTTATGCAGTTGTGTGTTCCGTTTGTTTGTTCCTCTAGAGATGACTGAGCGATGGCAGGTTGAAGGAAGGACCGGGCCTGTCCCTCGACAAGAGGAATATTCAAAAATAGTAAAAAATAGCATGGGGACGTTTTTTTTTTACTTTGTTGAGTATTTGTGGAATCGCTGTTTTGACTTTTTTAAATTTGTCGTCCAAGATCCCCCTGTAGGGGGACAGGCCCGACCTAACACTTGCTGGTCGGGGCCGTCGAAGAGCGATGTGATGAATTGGTTGGTGGGGATATCACGGCTCGGTCCAGGCCATGAGATCTTGCCGATGCCAGCACCCATCTTCTCCTTTTCAGTACTTCATCTGCCCCCCCCTCGTCCGCCGTCCGCGCACGTGCGTCGGAGCATGATGCGCTGACCCCTCTCTTCCTGGTGCCGCTTCGGCGCACTCGAGCTTTCCTCAAGGCCAGTTCACTTCATGCCAACTTCGGGGAAGCGTAAAACTCGAGTTTGTCGGCGCTCGGTTTTGCCGCCGCTTTTTGACGGTCACGACATGCGTTGTTCTTTCGATGGTTGGCATCACATCCATTGGTTTGGGATATTGGTTTTCTGATCTTGGGTTGACGGTGACAGGCTTGTTTCGAGGAGCAAAATAAGTACAGCCACAATTGCGTTTGAAGGTTTTCGCTGATCTCTTGGGTCATCGTGGACATTCGAAAGTCTGTGCTTACGCTGATGCTTCTTCTTCTTCTTCCTTTATTCCCCAGGGATTCTTCCGAGCCCATGGCGTCTAAGCCCGTTCGGCCGCCGAACGGGCTTAGCCCATTCGACGGCGGAGCGGACTCCACTGCCACGACCCTGTCGACACTCCACTCGACCCTGTCGAAACTCAACTCGTTCGGCGGCCTATTCGGCAGCCGAACGGGTTCAGACGTCTAACGGGGTTAACGAAGGGGAACCCTGGGTTTGGATCGGGTCGGGCGGTCGAAGGGGACGCGGGAAAAAAAATGCGGTGGGGAGGGGGCAACATTTGCAGCATGGAGTTTGTAGCAGCCTTGTCGACGTGCTTGCGCCGCGCCAGGAGGGGCCAGGAAAACCATTCTTGGCTGCGCGCCGCTGGTTCGCCGCGTCGACCCCCCCCTCCCAGTTCTGTTCCCCCTTTTCGTCCACCCCGGCTTTTGATACTCATCCTGCTGCCGGCGGCAAGTCCCGCCCCCGTGTCAGCCAAGCATTTTGGATGGCGATTGGCAGGAAGCCGTAGCGTGTGACATCTCTCGCCCCGAGGCCAAGGAAAGCCGTGACATGTGACATGTGTTGTTGCGTCGTGTTGGTGTTGGACATCAATATGAAGACGAATATTGTAATGATGATGAGGAGGAGATACAGGAGGAGGAACAAGTGGATTCAAGGATGAGGGAGAGGATAACATGAAGAGGGCAGTTGTTGCGGGCGAGGAGGATGACTAGGACGACGACGATAATGACGGTGATGGTGACGATGATGATTATGGTTATGATTGTGATGGTGATTGCGATGATGATGATGATGATGATGATGATGATGATGATGATGTTGATGATGATGATGATGATGATGACGATGACGATGACGATGACGATGAATATGATGACGACGATGATGATTATGATGCTGATGATGCTGATGGTGATGATCATGCATATGCTGATGATGACGATGATGATGATGCTGATGATGATGATGATGATGATGATGATGAGGTGGAGGAGGAGGACGGTGATGCTGCGGATGATGGTGGTGGTTGTGGTGATGAGGGTGGTGTGATGATGACGATGATGGTGATGACGATGATGTTGCTGACCATCATGGCGGTGGTGACGGTGATGATGTTGGTGATGAGCAGAACGAGGAGGAGTATGAGTATGAGTATGAGTATGACCATAAGACGAAGTCTTGAAAAATGAAGCCACACACTGACCATCTCCACGTAGATGAGGGAATGGTACAAGATGTACACGGCCAAAACCGTAGAGATTGACACAAGTTCAGCTGAGGTGAAATCGGCTCGATGCGGCCCTTCATTCAATGATGCGTTCAAGCACCACTGGTCATCGGGCAACCCCCAAAGGGGATCGCGTCCTCCACAGACAGCCCCACAATATCAATACAATAGACAGTACCCGCGTACGAACATGAATTGACCTCTTGATCTCGCCCAAGCCTCGGTGCAAACAAATGGGTCGACAATACACCTTTAAGGCCAGAAAAAGTGACAGTGGACACGGCGGGATTGGGGAGTGTCCCACGAGCTCCCAATGCATACCAAAAGCCACCACTCCTCGGGCTCCCGTGGGGCAATCTTGGGGATCCCTTGGGCAACTTCGGGCCGTCTTGTGTCCCTTCTGGGCAGTTTTGGGGCTTTCATTGCCCCTTTGGAGCTCTCTCGTTGATCTGGATTGCTCTTGACATCGCTCCGACTTTTGCATTTTGTCTCGGCGACGACCACCAATGAGCATCCTGGATCATCGAGCAAAAATAAACACTCACGAAACCGTCGGGGCCGGACAGAACCCCCAACAGTGACACGTCGATTAGTGAATTGTCCGTTTTCGGTTCTCGAGGGGCGCCGAGGCTTGCGCCCGCCAGGTTTGGGCCTGAGGTCGTTTTGACTAAACCACGTTTTACTAAAGGGGGGTCTGTCCATTCCCGAAGCCGATGCATGGACGTGGTGTGGACGTTCGAGGGATGGCAAGTATCTTGCGGCCGTCTTGTGGGTCTCGAGGGCGCAGGGCTGAAATTCCCTGCGGATCGGGAGGAGGCCCCTCGCCTCTCCTCCTCTGCACCGCGTGTGGAGGTTGCTCCACGATTCCCGAAGGGGCTCCAGGGCTCCCTGCAAGGCACAGGAAGGATAACGCGTCCAGTTTTCCCCTGCCTGACTTCGGTCGGGGTCAGGACGAGGATAACTCCGTTCAAGAACGTTCCAGAACGCTCTGAAAGCGTTCCGGAACGCTCTGAGAAGCCGCGGCGCCCGAGACGCCCCCTGGAGCCGCCGGGTTTCAGAGATTCTCGAGTTACCTTCACCCGTTTTTGTCCTCGTCCTGGCCTCGTCGTAAGTTTTCACGTGTGTAGTTTTTCCCTGCCTCACTCCGATCGCGCCTTCAAGCTGGGCCCTTATCGATCTACAGCGGTGGGTGCTCGGCGTCTGTGCGGGGATAGGCTCTGCACGGAGACCAGCAGGGCCCAGCGAGCGGATGACGAGCAGAGCTTGCCTGTCACACAATTTTTGTGTCGGACGTCTGCCAGTACTGCGGCCTCAACGAGGCCGCGCCCGATCACGAACAGTCGTTCAGGCTTCGTCCAAACGGTGTGCCGGAACAGCGTGTTGTCGTTCATATGCACGTTGTTGGCGCAGCAGCAGCTACTAGGACGCCTTGCCTGCGTGCGTCCCCGGACCAAAGGTGTCCTTCCAAAGTGGGCATGCTCAGCCCGAGGGGGTTGGCACATCATGCATAGTGTTGCCTGTTTCAAAGATGGTAGGCTAATTTCTGGTTATCCGCCGAAGCCTCTCCACATCTATCTGTCGCAGGAGCTTTGCAGATTGAAGTCAGCTTCGGCCAGGCTGCCGCGCGCAGATACGAGACCGTCTTGGCGTCTTCGCTGAAGAATGCGAACGCCACAAAATTTCACTGTGGGCTCCGCCGTCCTGCGCTCCACTCAGTGCTGTGGTCGCGGGGGCGGGGGGTTGCACGCTTTTGCACGTTTGCCTGCCCGTGGATCCGAACGGGGCCGCGGGACAAACAACACTGCGGAAGGCTCTCCTGCAGCACAGCGCGCCTCCGAAGGCGGGGGGGGTCGTGAAGGGCTTGTCCAAACGATGTGCTGGAACAGCGCGTTGTCATTCATAGGCACGTTGTTGGCGCAGCATTAGCCGTTAGGACGCCTTGCCATCGTGCGTCCCCGGACCAGAGGTGTTCTTCCACAGTGGGCATGCTCAGTCCGATGGGGTTTGGCACATCATGAGTAGTGTTTTTCTTTTTCTACTTTAAAAATGATAGGCCAATTTCTCGAAGCCCCGGGGAACAATGCACAGGAGATCAGTGATCTAGGTACAACCCTTAACCTAAATATAGTGAGTGTGTGCCCCAACTTCGCTCCAGTTTTTTTGTAGTATCCTTAACCTATTTGATGTACATCTGCGACACAAAGACCCCCTACCCCTGATCGTTTTGGCCCTCCCACCTTCGGTCTCCTCCCCAATTATTCGAGGTGCTTTCATTGCTGATCAAGAGTACCGAGGCAGATCTCTCCGAATGTGAGAGCGTGTTGCAGCCCGGGCGCGCGCCCTGCCGCTGCCTCCTGGCAGGACGCCGCCAGGACTGCTGAAGGTTTCGGCTCAATTCCCCACGACGCTGGGGTCCAAGAGGCGGGGGTCAATGGTCAATGCCAAGGGGGGCCGAACTTTGGGGGACGGGGGTCCACGGACAGTCAGAGGAGAAAATTGGTACCCATGCCGCTACCCTTGCCCCGTTCTCCCTTTTTGGGGTTTCCTGGGGTGCCCTCGTCGCCAACGCTGGATTCGCTGAGCGCACCCCGGGGGATGTCCAGGGAGTAGCGGTATCGGTTCCTTGTTTGTTTCCCCACAAAGGGGACGTCAGCCAGAGCGCCGGATCTGACAGGATCTTGCAGGGCGGGGTGCACTGACCCGGATTTGCGTGCAGGGTCCTGCAGGATTTTGCAGGATCCTGCAAGGCTTGGTTGGCCCAGATTTGCATTGACCCGGGACGCAGTGGCCCGTTTTTTAACAAATTTGAGGCCCAGTGCCGGCCTTCAGAGGCCGACAGTGCTTCACCCCTTTCCGCCGAGATGTTTTTCACGACGCGAGGAAGTCTGGGTCCCCAGGAACGCAGGGACACAGCGAAATGTGCGCAGCATGAAGAATCATGCCAGTGTTGCTCCTCTGCGTCGTCAGCCGCATGGCGGTGCCCGGTCCGCAGCCCGAGCGTGCACAGCGCCTGGGCGGACGGCCTAGACTTGCTCGTGCCACACAGGTTGAGCCAAACTTGCTCTCGGATGTCGCTTGAAACGATCTTGGCCTGAGGCTCCCTGGAAAACTTGGGGACGCCTTGGGCCAGGGACACCTTTAGCAGCACTCGATGTTCGTACCAACCAGCTTGGCGAGGAGGGCGCGCCTGACGAGGAGGAGGGCGAGGAGGAGGAGGAGGAGAAGGAGGAGGAGGAGGAGGAGGAAGACGAGGAGGAGGAGGAGGAGGAGGAGGAGGAGGAGGAGGAGGAGGAGGAGGAAGTGGAGGAGGAGAACGAGGGGACGAGGGCGAGGAGGAGGAGGAGGAGGACGAGGAGGGAGTGCCCCCCCTGTCGAGGAGGGCGCGCCTGACGAGGAGCCCGGGGAAGCACCCGAGGGGGCGCCAGAGGAGGAGGCCGAGGCCAGCGAGAGCTGAGGGCTTGGCGGGCCTTCTCTGCCTCGGCGGCGCTTTCTCGCGAGCGCTGAAAGTCGAGGACGGAGAGCAGCATGAGCATCAGAGGTTGGGGGTGGTGAGACACAGGACATGCTCGCGTCGTGAAACAAGTCGGGACGGAAGGTTTTTCGCGATTTGCGGCCTCCTCGGAGCATTATCGGGCCTCGGGACCGTCGACGAAACGACTCGGGATGAAAACTGGTCCTGGGGGAGGGGTCAGGACTTCCAGGGACCCCGTATTGAAAACATCCACACGTCGCATGTCTGGGACCGAAGTACGGGTGTTGCCAGACGATTTCCTGTCCCGAGATGTACCCGGCCTTTCTCGCCGTTTTGAGGGCCTGCGGGGCCCTCTGGGCCTCGTGGGGAGTGCTCTGGAAGCCGTCTGCGCCTCCCCGGGAGATCTGGGGTCATCATGGCCGCTTCAGGCAACCGCCAGAAAGTGGAACCGATCCCCCAGCCAGAAAGTCGGTCTCGGCTTCGATTCGTGCCGAGGGTGCGGGCGGGGAGGAGGAGGAGGATGGGGAGGAGGAGGAGGAGGAGGAGGAGGAGGAGGAGGAGGAGGAGGAGGAGGAGGAGGAGGAGGAGGAGGAGGAGGGAGGAGGAGGAGGGAGGAGGAGGAGGAGGGGGAGGAGGAGGAGGAGGAGGAGGGGGAGGGTAATTTAGGAGGAGGAGGAGGAAGAGGAGGAGGGGGAGGGGAGGGAGGAGGGGAGGGGGAGAGGTCCCCCGAGAGAACCCCGAGAGGCACACATCGTTGATTTTCATTCCCAACCATCCTGTGGTGTTGGGTCCTCGTTTTGAAGAAACGGTGCCGCGCGTCTCCTCTCCTCTCCTCTTTTCTTTTTTCCTCTCCTCCCCTCCCCTCCTCCTCCTCCTCCTCCTCTCCTCCTCGTCCTCCTCTCCTCCTCCTTCTCCTCCTCCTCCTCCTCCTCTTCCTCCTCCTCCTCCTCCCTCCTCCCTGGGTTTCACCCACCCATTACAGCGTTTCGTGTCCCCATAGGGAGCTCCACCGACGGCCCCCAGTGGCAGGGTCAGCATGGCGGCCTCGGGCCATTTCGGCGCACCCCTCACGAGGATCGTGGCCCCATAGGGAGCTCCACCGAAGGCTCCAGTGGCAGGGTTCGCATGGCGGCCTCGGGCCATCTCGGCACACCCCTCACGAGGATCGTGGGCCCCTATAGGGAGCTCCACCGAAGGTCCCAGTGGCAGGGTTCGCATGGCGGCCTAGGGCTATTTCGGCACACCCCTCACGAGGATCGTTGCCCCATAGGGAGCTCCACCGAAGGCGCCAGCGGCAGGGTTCGCATGGCGGCCTCGGGCTATTTTGGCACACCCCTCACGAGGATCGTGGCCACAGAGAGAGCTTTACCGAAGGCGCCTGTGGCAGGGTTCGCATGGCGACCTCGGTCCGTTTCGATAAACCCCTATCGAGGATCGTGGCCCCACAGGGAGCTCCACCGAAAGCCCCCAGTGGCAGGGTTCGCATGGCGGCCCCGGATCATTTCGACACACCCCTCGCGAGGATCGTGGCCACATAGGGAGCTTTACCAAAGGCCCCCAGTGGCAGGGTTCGCATAGCGACCTCGGGCCATTTCGGCACACCCGTAACGAGGATCGTGGCCCCATAGGGAGCTCCACCGAAGGCCCCTTGTGGCAGGGTTCGCATGGCGGCCCCGGGTCATTTCGACACACCCCTCGCGAGGATCGTGACCCCATAGGGAGCTCCACCGAAGCCCCCAGTGGCAGGGTTCGCATGGCGGTCTCGGGCCATTTCGGCACACCCTCACGAGGATCGTGGCCCCATAGAGAGCTCCACCGAAGGCCCCAGTGGCAGGGTTCGCATGGCGGCCTCGGGCCATTTCGGCAAATCCCTCACGAGGATCGTGACCCCATAGGGAGCCCCAACCGAAGGCGCTAGTGGCAGGGTTCGCATGGCGGCTTCCGGCCATTTCGGCACACCATTCACGAGGATCGTGGCCCCCTAGGGAGCTCCACCGAAGGCGCCAGCGGCAGGGTTCGCATGGCGGCCTCGGGCCATTTCGGCACACCCCTCACGAAGATCGTGGCCCCATAGGGAGCTCCACCGAAGGCCCCAGTGGCAGGGTTCGCATGGCGGCCTCGGGCCATTTCGGCACACCCCTAACGAGGATCGTGGGTTCACAGGAGCTCCACAGAAGGCGCCAGTGGCAGGGTTAGCATGGCGGCCCAGGGCCATTTAAGCACACCCCTCACGGGGATCGTGGCCCGATAGTTGTGCTGCTTCAACAACCGCGCCTTGGCGTCGTACTCCGCCTTGTCGACGTGCAACGCCACCTCCTCCTTCATGGCTCTCAAAGCCCTCTCCTGTTTCTGCTCCTCGGTCAGAGGGACGCCGTCCTTGTCGTCGTCGGCGCCCGCGAAGACGGCCACCAACCTGTTCCTGAACATGTCGGGCTCCGGCGGGAAGCTGTGGCCACATAGGGAGCGCGGGCGAAGATGGTATTCACAATTGCGTTATTCACAACCTCATATGGTTGGGTCTTTCGCCAGGCTAATTGTTTTTTCATACTTCATCGCGCGTTCGAGCTCCAACGCTCCAAGAAGGCTGACGACATTCTTAAGACCGCCCCAAGACGGCCAACATTGCCTCCAAGAGAGCGCCAAGACAGCCCAAGAACGCCTCGATATTGTCCATGAGCCGCCCAAGACGGCCCACCAGCGCCCCAACACATGCCCAAAATGGGCCCAAGAGGGGGGGCAGGAGGCCTCAAGAAGCTCCCGAGACGCCTCCAGGACCCTGCCGAGGCTCCCAACAAGCCACAAACGCTTGGGATACCCAAAAAGGAGCCCCCAGAGCTTCCAAAAACAGCTCCCGAAGGGCCTCCAAGCTGCTCCCTCAGATCCCCCATACAACCCTCCAGACTGCCTTCCGAATGAGCCCCCAGATACCCAAATCACGGATGTTCAATCAGTTTTTTACAAAGTTGCTGGCCTTCTCGCGGCTTCGAGGTTCCAGCACTCGAAAACGGTCGAAGAGGTCCCCAAGACCGCTCCAAGATTGCCCAAGAGGCCCCCAAGACTGACCGAAAACGGTCCAAGAGGCTGTTCAGACTGCCCACTAGCTGCCACAGACAGCCCACGAGGGCCCCGGGACACGCCCAAGACAGGCTCCAGAGAAATAATAAAATGCCTCAGGAGGCTCAGGACCCCCCAGTGTCCCCAACAAGCCTCAGACCCCCGACAGGCCAACAAAAAACCCTCGCGGCACCAACCATAGCCCCCAACAAGCATTCATCCTGCCCTCCAAAAGCCCCCACCAGGCTTTGAACCTGCCTCCCAGGAGTACCCTGGGAAATCCGACCACGTCAGGGCGCTTGCTTCGTGATCCTTGGGATCGCCTTCGTGGTCGCCGCCATCCTCGTCCTCCTCGTGGTTGTCGCTTTCTCGCTGTAGTGGCTGCCGTCGTCGGCGTCGCCGTCGTCGTCGGCAGCATGTGGTCCGTTCTGTTCTCTCGCGGTCCCACCCGTCGTCGAGTTCCCCGACCCCTGAGCGCCCCCCCCCCCCCCTCAATTAAGCATGCTTAGGGGGGGGGGGCTCAAGATCCCCCCCCTGACGGACAGGGCGGGAGCGCTGAGGAGGCCGCGCTTGGTGGAGTCGTGGGTCGGGTCCTGTGCCAGGGCTGCCCATGGACAGCACCCGCCCCGCCCTGCCCTGGTGGTGCCAGGCAGGACTGACGGGGTTCACGGGTGGTCGCGAGGCCTTCGCCCAGCCAGTGAACGCGGTGGAAAGGGGACGGGGCGGGCGGAGGAGAGGACAAGGACGCGTCGGCGGGGAGGCAGCGGCCGACCGAGCCCCTGTCGGGCGGAGCCGCCCGCGCCGTCCCTGGGGAGGCGGGGCCCGGGCGCCCTGGCCTCTCCAGGGGGCGGTTCGCCGTCGCTTGGAGCACGCAAGCCTACATAATCCATACGTACGAACATATTAACAAACATACATATTCTTATGCATACATACACCTTTATGTATATGCATGTCTATATACATGCATATGTTTCAATATAGCTATGATTTTTTACACACACATGTATGTATGTATACATATACATATGTATGTATGTATGTATGTATGTATGTATGTATGTATGTATGTATGTATGTATGTATGTATGTATGTATGTGTGTATGTGTATGTATGTATGTATGTATGTATGTATGTATGTATGTATGTATGTATGCATGTATGTACGCATGCATGCATGTATGTATGTATGTATGTATGTATGTATGTATGTATGTATGTATGTATGTATGTATGTATGTATGCATATATATACATATATCGGAGTAGGGCCCGGGGGCGGCCCGGAGCGCTGCCTGTAATCTCCATGGGGGGTGCAGGGCGCCCCTGGGAGCGTTCGAAGCGTCCCGGAGGGCTCCTGGGACCGCCAGGAACAGTTCGAGACCGCCCAAGACGGCCCGCGAACGCTCCAAGACGCGCATAGATAGCCTCAGGAATGGCCAGGAAGGCCCGAAGACGTTCCAAGAGAGCTCCATGAGGCCCCGAAGGCACCCCAAGAGGCCTCCCAAGAGAGCGCCGACAAGCCAAAAACGTTGATTTGTATAGTTGTTTTTTGTTTTTTTTGTTTTTTTTTGTTTTAGGTTTTTGGCCATCTCGCTTTTTCGGGGTTCCGACGCTCCAAGACCGTCCAAGAGTCTCCCAAAACCGCTCCAAGACGGCCGAAGAGGCCCCCAAGACCGCCCCAAGACGGCCCAAGAGACCATCAAAATCATCCAAAGACGGCCCAGGGGAGCCCCAAGATGGCCCAGGAGCCGCTCAAGACGGTTCCAGGAGAGCCCCGACAGGGCTTCAAGACTGCCTAAGCGAGCCCAACGGGCCCCAAGAGGGCCCCGCGAGGCCCCAAGAGGCCCCAAACGGGCCCCCAAGAGCCTCCCCGGAGGCCCCCAAAAGGCCCCCAAGATGCCCAACAATAGCCCTGAGCGCGCCCCAAGACGCGTCCAGGAGAGCCCAACAGGCCTCCGAGAGGCCCCCAAGAGGCCCACTGGAGGCCCTCAGGAGGTCGTCCCCGTCATGTTCCCGGAAGGCGGTCCGGGAACATGATTCCGCCCCCTCGCCGAAAATTCGGGCCCTCAGTCTCAAGAAGCCTCCGAAGAGGCCACAAGAGGCCCCAAGTGATCCCCTAAGGGCCCCAAGAGAGCCCCAAGAGGGCCCCTGAGGGCCCCAAGAAGGCCTTCAAGAGGCAAACATCGGCACATCTCCCTTGTAAAACGTACATGTTCGGCATACTCGCTGGCTTCGTCTTCACAGTGCCCCAGACGCCCCCGCGGAGCCCCAAGACAGCCCAAGAGAGACCCAAGAGGGCCCCAGACGGCCCAAAAGGGTCGGCCTGTGGGGCTCACCGAACCCCCCGAGACGACCCAAGAGGCCCCGAAGCCGGCCCAGGAGGCCCCCAAGACGGCCTCAGGGAGGCTCAAGAGGGCCCCGTTCGAAATCATGTTCCTGGAAGCCTCTCCGGGAACATGATTTCTGGGTTCCGAGGACGCCCAAGAGGCCCACAAGACAGCCTCAGCGAGGCCCCAGAGGGCCCGAGATGGCTTGAAGATGGCCGAAGAGGGCCCCGAGAGGGCCTTCAAGAAGCAAACATCGGCCCAGTTCTTTTTTGTAAAACGTACATTTTCAGCATATTTGCTGGCTTCGTCGTATTCGCAGTGCCCCAGACGCCCCCGATGAGCCCCAAGACAGCCCAAGAGAGACCCAAGAGGGCCCCAGACGGCCCAAAAGGGTCGGCCTGTGGGGCTCACCGAACCCCCCGAGACGACCCAAGAGGCCCCGAAGCCGGCCCAGGAGGCCCCCAAGACGGCTTCAGGGAGGCCTAAGTGGGCCCCGTTCGAAATCATGTTCCCGGAAGCCTCTCCGGGAACATGATTTCCGGGTTCCGAGGACGCCCTAGAGTGAGGGCCCCAGGACAGCCTCAGCGAGGCCCAAGAGGTCCCGAGATGGCTTCAAGATGGCCGAAGAGGGCCCCAAGAGGGCCTTCAAGAGGCAAACATCAGCCCGTCCCCGTAGTAAAACGTACGGACTCGGCGCGAGACAACTGGCGACCGCAGCTGCCGTCCCTTCGTGCTGGGCGAGCGCGAACCTGGCGTTCAGTTTGGACGGAACGTGTCGGGTCTGTTGCCAATCGGGGCTGCGCCAGGTTAGGCCACCCCCAAGATCAGGTTCGGGAATGGGTCGTAATTAGCAACACGACGACGACGACGACGACGACGACGACGACGACGACGACGACGACGACGACGACGACGGCACGCCCCAACAGGCCCCCCAAGACGCCCCAAACCCATGCTCCCAAAAGGCCTTCTGGGAACCCGATTCATACGGCCTCCGCCCCCCATACACAACATTTTTTCTCGAAGGCATTTCGGAATGCAGATTGATATGCGTGGACTTTGGTCCACTATTTCAGTGGAGCAGTCCCCAGGTCTGCTATATATATATATATATCAATATAGATATGTATATTTACGTATATATATATATATATATATATATATATATATATGTGTGTGTGTGTGTGTGCATGTACTCCCTCCGGGCTCCGACCCCCACTGCCGGGACATCTCTGGACAATCCCCGGTACCGCCCAAGAGTCTTTCTCGTCGGAGGCTTCCAGGGGGCTATGGGAAGAACGCAGGGTGCCTTCAATAGTGGGCGTCGCAGCAGGAGTAGGATCACAAGAGGTCCGTCCTCGGAGAAAAGGGTTCACACATCTGGCGGTATCAAGATCGGCACGTTCGATTATGTTGTTATTTGTGTGGGGGTTCAAAATATGACGCCTCTGAGGCATTGTGATCCACATCGCGTTCATAGAAAACATAGTCTTGCAAAGAAGTCGTCATCTGAGGAGAGTCGCTCTCTGTCGTCACAGCCTGTCTCTTCCCCAGCACCTGGTCACAAAAAATGCAGCGACTGATTCACACACATACTCTGCAAGTCCCCGACACATCCGTGGCAGGTGGGTTTTTACTAGCTGGGTTTGAAGACCCCGTCTTCAGGCTTGCCCAAGAGAGTCTGATGGATGCCCCTTGGGTGGGAACAACGGCCGTGGAACTTCTGATAGAGCCCAGGGAGTCGGATGCCCAAGGGCCTCGTGGGAGCCTTGCTGATGGTAGTGAGGTCCTGGTCCTGGTGAATGCACTGATCGAGACCACTGTTGTCACAGGTGGGGCCGCCAGAAGAGCTCGGATGGGGTCCCATTGGAAGCTCGAGGGGGCCCGTGGTTGCCATACTGCTGGTTGTGGATGTTCGTGCCAGCCCGAGGTACTATGAGTAACATGGCAGCCGAGTAAGTGTATCAGTGACAACAGAGGCTGATTCCCTATATCCAATTGTAGTGATTGTCGTGGCGTAGATCATGGAATCCCTCAGAACCATCCGCGGTTGCGGAGCGGGGTGGGGCTCCCGTGCCATCTGGCAGCACAATAGGTTTCGCAGGGGGGGCCCTCCCTGTGTTCCACACGTGCCGTACGAGGACATGTGAGGCCCAGGTTTGTAAAGTATCCTGGTTGTGTAGTATCAAAGGGAGAGAGAGAGAGAGAGAGAGGAAGAGGAGGAGGGAGGCGGAAGGACTGGAGACCAGAGCGCCTTATTCAAAACGAAAATCCACAGCAGGAGGGTTGAGAATAGTGTTGCCAGAACTGGTGTTTCACCTTGTTGCTTCCTCCTGCTCCTCCAGCCGACAGTCCGTTCCGCGTATTGGCGGTGCACGCGGGCTCGGAGGGCCCCTCGATCTGGGTCAGGGGCTGCGGCCCGCAGGCCAGAGGGAGCTTAGATTGCGACGGCATGCTTTTGGCGTGTCGGGGCCGGTTCGTCTGGAGGGGCCGCTGCGTTTGGCGTTATGGAGTAGGCGGTCGAGCATGTGAATCAGAAGCCCCGCCCCGCATTTCGAAACATTGCCAACATATGTAGTGTTGTTGTCTCATATGCTACTGTCTAATAGTATAGTGAGCTACAGGTTCGGAGTCGACCAAAACCTAAGCGCGCGCGAAGCGCGTGCATGGTACTAGTACGTGTATATATGTGTGTATGTATGTATGTATGTATGTATGTATGTATGTATGTATGTACGTACGTACGTACGTACGTACGTACGTACGTACGTACGTATGTATGTATGTATGTATGTATGTATGTATCTATGTATGTATGTATGTATGTAAGTATGTATGTATGTATGTATGTATGTATGTATGTATGTATGTATGTATGTATGTATGTATGTATGTATGTATGTATGTATGTATGTACATATATATATATATAGATACTAGAACCACGCGCGCGCGCTTCGCGCGCGCTTAGGTTCTGTCGAGTCACAGACCCAGGAATCGTTGTGAGAAGAAATTGGTGACGCGAAGCGTCGTGGGGGCGTCCTTGGACGTCTGGGGTCTCCTGGGGCCTCTTGAGGGGCCTCCTGGGGGCCTCCTGGCGGCCTCTTGGGGCGGAAGGCTCGAGCTTGCGGTTCGTGGTCCCCCTCTGGGCCCCCTCTTGGGCCCGTCTTGGGGCCCTCTTGGGCCATCTTGGGCGCCTCTTGGGCCGTCTTGGGGCCCTCTTGGGCTGTCCTGGGGCCCTCTTGGAAGCTTCTTGGGCCGTCTTGGGGCGGTCTTGGGCGCCTCTTGGGCCGTCCTGTAACGTCGGAAAGCCCAAAAGACAACTTTGTTGAAAATGTACGTTTTACGAAGGGAATGGGCCAATTTTTGCGTCTAGGGGCCCTCTTGGGACGCATGTTGGAGGCTTCTTGGGGCCTCTTGGGGGCGTCCTTGGACGTCTGGGCTCCTGGGGCCTCTTGTCTTGGGCCGTCTTGGGACCGGGGAGGGCCTCCGGCAAGCCCCGACGAGCCTCCGGGCCCCCCGGGAGCCCACGTCTGGAGGCCATCTTCAGCATCTCCGAGCCCTCTTGGAGGTCCCGTCTTGGGCGCTCCTGGGGCCCTTGTCTGACCGGGGAGGCCTCCGGCAAGCCCCGACGAGCCTCCGGGCCCCCCGGAGCCCACATTTGTGATCGAGGTCCCGGCCCCGGGCCCCCGGACCCGGTGCGCCGTTATATGTGTATATATATATATATATATATATATATGTATATGTGCAGGAGGGGGTGAGGGATCAGGGCGGAGAGGGAGAGGAGAGAGTGGATCGGAGGAGGAGAAAGGGACGAGAGCGTAGGAGGGACCGCATGGATTGATGCGGGGCCGGTTCGCTGATCCCTCCCTTGACCAAGCCCTCTTGTTCGCCCGACTTTCGTGACGCGCGACGGCGCCCGGTTCCTCCTCCTTTTCCTCCTCCTCCTCCTTCCTTCCTTCCTTCCTCCTCCTCCCTCCTCCTCCTCCTCCTCCCTCCGCCCCCTTTCCCGCGATGACAGCGGAGCGCCGTTTGCGCGACGCGGGGGCGGCCGCCGCCCCCCCGCGGGCGGACGAGCTGTGGGCTGCCCAGGCGCGCCCTTTGGCCCAGGGCGCAGTTAACACGAAGTACAACCTAGATCAACGAAGGAGGAGGAGGAAGAGGAGGAGGATGTAGAGCAGGAGGAGGAGGAAGAAAAGGAGGAGGAGGAGGAGGAAGAGGAAAAGGAGGAGGGGAGGAGGAGGAGGAGGAGGAAAAGGAGGATGAACAGTCTGGGCGATAACGGCCGTGAACGGCCCTCTCCCCCCTCCCACCCCAGATCACGTCGCGCTATGGTGCCCACGTTTGAAGAGATGTGCTGCGGATTCCTCGAGGCTGTCCTGACATTTCCGGCGCCCCCTCGCCGTGCATGATGTGATCGGGGGGGGGCGAATTCCCCCCCCTCCCCCGTTCACGCCCGCTCTCGCGAATAGACACATGTGTATATATATATATATATATATATATATATTATATATATATATACATATACATGTATATATATATATATATATATGTACACACACATACATCTGAAGCGGCGTTGTTGTGCTCTTCGCCGTTGGGGACCCCACCTTGGAGGGTGTGCTCCGTTCTTGTCATCTCCACGGGGCCCCTGGCCCTCGGCGAGGGGGCTCGTGCTCCGGATCCCCACCCGCTTAGTGGCCGCGCCTCGATGGCACCCCCGGGAGTTAGAGTTCCAGGATGGCCCCTGCGGCCCCCGCAGCTCGGAGAACAGATGACGGTGCGAGCACGAATTCTCGGAGGCGTGTGCGGATTCCTCTGGTCGGCGCCGGACCCTTGGCGACGCCTCTGACGCCGTGCGGGCGGGCGTCGCTCCGCGGGTCGGGTAGCGTGGTCCAGCGCCGATCCAAGAAATGAGGGTGGACCTCCGACGGTTTCTGTTCATGCCGTTCCTTCTGTGTCCAATTGCGCCCCTTTTCCTGCTCTGAGGCGGGGGTTCAACCATAACGCCGCCTGGGGGATCGATGTTCGAGGACCTCGGCATGCGGTGGAACTGGATCCATTCGGGCCCCCTGGGGCCAACATGTGTCCGCATCCTCCGCCCCCGATGGTGAATACGGACACCTCCCCGCCTCGCACTGACGAGGCGCAGAAGGGCCCAGGGGGCCCTCGATTGCCACGGGGGGCAGGACGGGGAGCAGCAGGAGGAGTTGCAGCGGAGGGAGGCAGAGGAGAAGGAGGAGGAGGAGGAGCAGGAGGACGAGGAGGAGCAGAATGACGAGGAGGAGGAGGACGAGGAGGAGGAGGGGGAGGAGGAGGGGAGCAGGAGGAGAGGAGAGGGAGGTGGAGGATGGGGGGGCACCCTCGGCAAAGGGCGCCCCTGGCAGCCCGCGAGCAATGGCCGCCGACACGCTGTCGCGGCTCTCGTTCGTGAACTCCCACCGGGGTCCGCGCCCGCCTCTGCCCCCGCGCCGTCCTCTCGCTGGCGCCGTCGCCGCCGTCGTCGTCGAGGAGGAGGGCGGGGGAGGAGGGGGAGGAGGAGGAGGAGGAGGACGAGAGATAATAAGAGTATTATCCAGAAGAGGAGAACGAAGACGAATCATAATAATCATGGTCTTGATAGTGAGAATAATAAGAATAATATGAAGAAGCACAATCATAAACAAACTAATAATTTGAATATTAGCCATATTTTCTATTATACAACGAAGAAGGATCATCATACGAGAAGAAGAAGAGGAGAAGGAGGAGGAAGAGGATAGTGAGGATGAGGAGGAGGAGGAAGAGGAAGATGATGAGGAGGAGGAGGAGGACGAGAGGAGGAGGAGAGGGAGGAGGAAGAAAGGGGAGGGGGGGAGGCGGGAGGTGGAGGTGGGGAGGGATGGGGAAAGGACATGGAAGCCCTTGAGGGGGAGGACGGGAATGAAGGAAGGAGGAACATGACAAAAGGGAGGAAAAAGAGGAGAAGGAGGAGGCGGAGGAGGAGAAGGCGGAGCAGAAAGGGAGAGGAGGAGGAGGAGGAGGAGGAAGAGGAAAAGGAGGATGAGGAAGAGAAAGCCCGAACGTTTTGTTACCACTGCTAGCCCCTCGCCTGCTGTTTTTTCGCCGCTATCCTGGCTCGGAGGGCCTCGAGGCCTGTAAGCTGTTGTGCTAACGCGGGCGCCTTCCGCTGCCGAGACGCAGTGACATGTGCGCACGCATCGGCGATAGTTAGAGTAACTTCGGGCTCCGCACAACAAGAAAGAAGGTCGAGCTTGGGGTGTAAACCTCGATCGGTGTTACCTGCACCGATGCGCTCGCGATCCGTCCGCGGACGGGCGCAGCGACACAGCAACTTGTGTAGGCGCATCGTACCTGCATGACAGGCAGAGACGCAAAGGTCTGGGGAGGTCTCCGACCTGCGTATTGGCCAGCCCATGACGGTACCGCGTTCATACAATCGCTACAGCATGCGTCGCCGCATTCTGGAACGAAGATGGATAACAACACGCCAACTGCAGCTGCTCGGCCGCATGGCTCGCCTGTGGCAAACTCGGCCATGCTGGGCAACGCGCTGAAGCTACCGTCTCTCCCCTTGGCCTCATGAGTATCCATGAGACAGCACCCTTCGATCGAGAGCTCCTTAATCCGATGCGGCGCGAAAGATCCATCCCCTGAAGCCCGCGGGCCTGCAGTGCCGAACGAGGCCCACTTCAAGGGCTTCCGCCCTGATCACATAAGCTCGGCGCGCGCTGGTCCGACGGCTCGGGCCACGATGAGACAGTATGCTCCCACTCACAAGCCCGCGTCGGACTCCTCCTCGTCCTCCTTCGCCTCCGAAGGGGAACTGTTGGACACGTCTGCCCCTTTTCGGCCCGCGCGCACCTCCTGGGCCATCGCAGCGGCAGATCCGATGGGAAGCGGAATCAGTTTGAAAACTTTTGGGGCACGAGCCGTTGGACAAATTCCATCGTGTAACAGCACAACCCTCAGTCTAAATCCCCCCGCGCGAAGCTGGAGGAGGGGCAGGAACGTTTCACTTAGAGGCTTTCGGGTCTGCCCCCACTCCCACCCCTGCAGTCCTTCCAGCCGCGGCCCCCCCGCGTGCTTTCCAGCTCGGGCAGCGCGAAGTCCGCCGCGGCTGGCGCCGTAGCAGCGCCCCACGTAGCAGCGCGCTTAGCTAAGGCAGGTGCGACAATTCCGCGCCACGAGGGGTCGCCGGGCAGAGTGGTCTTGGCCGTGGCCGACGCCGCACCGTGACACGGCGCCCGGTGGGGCGTCGCAATGTTTCGCGCGCTTGCGCGCGCCGTCCGAGGCCCCGTGGCCGCGCCCCCAAAACTCCTAGCAATTTTACCCCCCCGCCGTGTAGATCTTGCCGAGTTGGATCTTTTCCAATGGAAGGGCGCGACGGTGGAGCTTAAGGCGCTCATGCCTCCTCACCGCGTTCGCAGTTCGGGTCTCGACGCCGAGCGAGGCGACGCGGGGCCCGAGCGACCAGCACGGGCGCCCAACTTGCGTCCAACCCTGAGCGCCACCTCGGGAGTCGACCCCGACGCCATCATCGAATCGGCCGCCGTGCCGTCGTCGACGCGCGGGGCAAGATCGCAGACTGGGTTGCGCTGACATTTTGAGGGTGTGCATTGCAACGCAGACATCGTTAAAACAAGGTCCAGCGGGAAGACCGCTCTTGACATTCATTGGGGCCGGGCCGCGGTCCGCGCTTAGCGCGAGGGCGCGCGGCTTTCGCCGGACACCCGAAGCGACCTCGACAACGATCGGGCCGGCGCGAGAGACCGCCGCGAAGGGTGGCGAGTCGAAGGCTCTCGCAGCATTCCGAACCGTCCGGCGTGAAACCCGTCGACAGCCCCCACCTCGGCGCGGCCCCCGCATCAACGGCCCGCTTCCGCGCGGGGCCTCCCCCTGACAGCCCCGCCCCAAAAGCCCGGCGCAATCTCGGGCGGCGCCCGTTGAAGTCGATCTTAGGTCGGCGAGTCTCTCCAGCAGCCCGGCGGGGGCGACGCGCCAAAGCGCGCGCCTCGGCCCGCCCTTCAGAGAAGGGGGGGGGGCCGCTTTCGATTTGTTTTGCCATCCGCAGGGATTTCGCGCGCGTGGGCGGTTTGGGCATGTCCCGAAGTCTTGCGGCTCCAGCGGTCGCGGCCGCGGCGAGCCCCGGCGCCCTGGGCCCGGCGCGTTTTCCGCCGAGGAGAAGCGCAAGGCCAGGGATGGAGTCGGCCGCTCAATGAACGCCCCGGCTGGCGAGCTCGGTCCGCAGCAGGCGGCCTGGCGGGGCGCCCGCGCCGAGCGGGAAGCGCAGCATGAGCAAGTCTGCGGCGAGGGGTCCGCCGGGCAACTTGGCCGCCCGGGTGGGCTGCGGGCCGGGCGGGCGCGGGGCGGTGGGGCAGGTTGGCGGCCGCCCTTGTGCGCCGGGAAGGAGCGCCTCGAGCTGGCGCCGCGCGCGGCCGAGTCGCCGGGCGGCGCGGCGGGGGGCGGGGGCCGCGGAGATGCCGAGATCGGGGGGCACCACGCGTTGCAGCAGAGCCCCTACAAGGGCGCTGAAAAAATCCGGCTCCGCGCGCGAGCCTTCGCGATGACGCGCAACTGCTTCGCCCTCGCGCCGCCCCCGCGGCGGCGGGGCGAGTTGATCGCATTCGCGAAGGGGGGGGCGCGGGAGTTCGACGCCGCGCACTGGAGTTGCGCGCGCGAATTGCCCGCGCGCGCGCAGATCCCAGGTCGCGCCCTTTGCCGCCCGTGCTTCTTCTGGCGCGGCCGCAGCAGCGGCGTCGACCACCCCGCGACGAACGAGTGGGTCTGCGCGGGCGCGCGCCCCCGCGTAGACGCCAGCTCTGACGGCCGTGATCCGTCGGATTGGCTTCGCGCCACCAAGCGCGGGCACTTCCATGCGCGTGGAAATCCGGCGCTGTATGCGCAGAGACCAATTATTTCCCCCGGGAGGGGTCGCGGGGGCCCAGAGCGCGGTGGGTAATCGGGTATAGTCGGTCTCTGGCGGATGCATGAGCTGGTCCACGACGCGTTTCGCCCGCTTTCAGCGAAATCGCGCGATTGCCGCGACCGACGGGCGGCTTGCCTGGAGGTCGTCGCGGCGACGGAGACAAGGTTCGCACGCAAGGAGGAGCAGTCAATGGCGCTGGCGGCGATCCGGGCCAGATCGAAGCCCGCGAAGCCTTTGTGCCCCGCCATTGAATCTTGGAGGATGCACTTTGGTGTGGTCGATAACAGGTATAAGTTCCTTGTCCTCCATGTGCCGTTCCGCGCCGGGAAATCGAGGCTGGCGAGGCCATTGTTCTGCGCGGGGCAGACCTGGTGGCCGACGCGACGAACGTTGGCGAGCCGCGTCTGCATTCGAGGGCTGCGTTGTTGGGCGAGATGGAAGGCGTGGATTTCAGAATCAGGAACAAGACACTGTTGCACCTGTACATCGATGGCGCAGAGTTGGGCAAGAGCGCGGGCGCGCAGCGCGCTCGCCGCGCGTTCCTCTGGCGGATCCCCATCACCATTGCGACGAACCGCTGGAGGCTGGATGGCCTGACTGCCGCGGGTCGGGCGTAGGTCGAGGCCAGCTGCGCTGCCGCGGAGATCTCGGGGCCAGCATGGGATGCGAGTCCCGGCGCCGAGGCCGCCGCCCCGGGCGGGGCAAGCGCCCCCCGCAAAGGGGGAAGAGGAAAAAGGCCAGCATCGAGCTTCATTTGAGGGCCCCCACCGCGGTTGAAGCGCGCCTGAAGAAGGGCGGAACAATAATTCGCATACGCAGACGCACGCGCGACAGAAGGATTGGCGCCCGCGCGGACGCGCTCGCAGGCGCAGACACGCAGACGCGCACAGACACGCACATACATCATGTCGCGCAATGAAGGATCCGGCATCTCGTTCCGCGTGGGAGTTAGCGGGGGGGGGGGGGGCCGCGGATGGCGTCGGAAGGTCCTTTTTCTCTGAAGCGGACAAGGGGATGCGTCTGCATTCGACGTGCGTCGGCGCTGGGAACGATGTCACCCGGGAGCTGCGTTGCAATGCAGTTGTCGCACAGCTGTTCAATTCCGCGGGTGAGGTGGCTGTCTGGGTCGGCCATCGCAAATCCGCGGGTTCCACGGCTGGGAAGCTAGCTCGGCGGCGCGTGGCGCGATTGCCGCAGGGGCGGCATTGGCGGTGACGACAGTCGCCGTGGCGCCGATGACTGCGGCGTTGACGACGATGATTGCGACGAAGGTCATGCTGCCGACGAGAACGACGTCGAGGAATGCGGCGACGATGACGGCGACGATGACGATGGCGATGGTGATGATGATGATGATGATGATGATGATGATGATGATGATGATGATGGCGATGGCGGCCCTGGCGATGATCATTGCGACGACGGGGCGACGAGGGCGACGCCACCTCAATTCTAGATCTCCGCATGGGCCTTATGGGGCGAGAGCCGCCGGCTTCTGGGCGGGGCTGTGGCCCCCCACCATTAGTTTCATATTGTGCAGCGACTTTTGCCCGCAGCCGCGTGAGTTGCAGCCGCTTTCGCCGCCGCTCCTGCGACCATTTCGGTTTTGGCGCCCCGGCGACCGCGGCGCCACGGAGGTTCGATCGGAAGATGCATGGCGCCTTCCCAGGAGGCCTTGCAGAGCGCCCGGATGTCGGCGAATGACGGGCACCGCGCGCGGGAGCAGGCGATGGCTTGTGCGCTCCGGGAGGCCCTGCGCGCCGATGGCAAGACGTGCCATGCTGGGCCCCGCCTGCGCGTCGCCGCTCCTCTGCCGGAGTCGCTCGGCGAGAAGGCGGCTCGCCCAGCGCCCCGGACGTGGGGCAGCTGTTCCAGAGGATGGGCGACGACGACCCTGAGTGGCCCCCTGGGAAGACCAGCGCGCAGGCCGCCCCAGGCCCGACGCACCTGCGAGGGCGATCGCTGCGGCCGCAAAGAGGCTGAAGACGGGGAGAGGAGCCGACGCACGCGCCCATCGCGGCTGCGTGCCCGACAGCGAGGCTGACCGTGGATGCGGGGCAGCCCGTCGACAAGCACCCTGTCTACCTGGTTCTCTCGCAGACGTGCTACTGCGATGGCCCGGGCGACTTCCAGCAAAATATGGCAGGACTATCGCGGTCCGCATCGGAATCAGACCCTGCATCGGAGAGTCGCAGGTTCCAGGGAGTGCCCAAGCACCTCGGTTTGATTGTGATCATACCACAACATGTTTTTACTGCTCGCTGCGATCTTCTGCCCCTTTATGACCCTTCGTCTGGTTCAGACTGCCACTGTTTTGGCGCCATGTCGACTCATGCCTGCGAGGCAGACCGGGTCGCGGGAGCCCGTGCTCAAATGTGGATTTCGCCGCGCGCATGCGGGCGCGCGAGCGCGGGCCCTTGGTTCGACGACGTCGCGCGGTGCGCCCTCTGCCGCGGCATGCCCCCGTAGACGCAGAAAAAGGCCAGGTCGCCCGCGATGGCCAGGAAGGCTGGGGGGGCGTGGATGAGCAAGGTGGCCATGAGCAAATCGGCGAACCTGCGGAAGGCGAAAAGCCTAAGTGCAGGAATGGAACAGGTCCGACGCCCAAAGAGTCTGGCCGGTACCCACGATTGCAGATTGCAGGTTTCATCGAGGCGCTGCCGGGCGATTTCCCTGGGGAGACGCCAGGCGGCGCCGACGCGATGGTCGGCCGCGCGCGGGCCTTCCTTCCGTGGGGCCCGCGCGCCGAAGGCGGTGTTCGCGGACCGCGGCGGCGGTTCCTTCGGGGCGGTGAACAGCAATGTCACCATTGCAAGGAAGCCTTGGCAGCGGCGGACGTGACGTCGTTCTGCGGAGACGACGCGCTCATCGATCCGGGCAACATGCGGTGAATGTTCCGCGGGGCCGCCGCTGCTGGGACCTGGGGCCGCCTCGCATAAACATTGCCGCGGCGCCCTTGGGAGGGGGCGCCTGGCGACTGCCGCAGGCGCCTGAAGCTGGTCGCAGCGCGCATCAACGACCGCTGCGACGCGGGGAGAAGATTGCGCCGCGAGCTGCCAGCGCGCGCGCATGCCTCGCGGCAGAACAAGGGGGGTGGATTGCTAACTAATCGCAGGAATGCAAATTCATCGCGGGATCTCGATGCGCATTGCGCAATGTAATATCATTGCCATTGACGCCACCCGCCACCTCTTTGCTAACTTACCATCGCCGCCGTCACTCTGGCCGCCGAAACCGCCTGCAACGCCGACATTGCCGATGCTGGCGCCGCCAGGATCACCGTCGACTGCCAGAACATATCATGCGACAAAGAAGAACCTCCCCCTGTCTGTTGGGCTTTTCAGGTAGCGGGAAGAGCATCCATCGCAGGGCCTTATAACGGAGTCCTATATATTCAACCGTCTGAAAAATGCAGCCGGGCACCTCCAGCCCAGCATCGCCCGGCGAAGAGTTGTTTAACGCGGGCGCCGTCCAAAGATTGCGCCGCGCAGGGGCTGGGGGACCTGCTGGCGCCGCAAATCTCCGCGGGGTTTGAACCAGCGAGACAATCTCTGTCCTTTCGACCTCCTGGCGTCCATTGTTTTTGTTTCTAGTGAGCTCGCGCATTGGTCGGGCGCGACCCCAGCTCACATTAGCACGATTGTCGAGGTTTGCCTGTGATGCTTCGAAATCCACATTCCAGCCGTCGGCGCCTGAGCGCGCCGATCTATCCAGCTGGCGAGTTCGCGAGCATGCCGAGGCCAAGACTCAGCCGACGAGCGCGCCTCGCGGACGGCGAGAAGACGCGTTCAGGGGGGGGTATGTCGATCTCGCTGCCGTAGACGCCGCTGTCTACCATGCCACGCTGGTGACCTGCTCCTCGTACTCTTCACTGCCACCCTCCACGTCCTCACTTGGGAAGGCTCGATGGCTCCGAGGCGCTCCTGCCTATCGCGCGGCGGCCGGCACGGAGCTGGGCGCGGGTGCAGGGGTCGGGTCGCGGCGGCCGAACGTCCAAAAACGCACCGACAGGGAATGTCTCCGTCGGCCCAAGCCCACGCCCACTCCCAGGAGGAGGAGGAGGGGGAGGAGGAGGAGGAGGAGGAGGAGGAGGAGGATGAAGAGGACGAGGACGAGGACGATGAGGAGGAGGAGGAGGAGGAGGAGGAGGAGGAGGAGGAGGAGGAGGAGGAGGAGGGGAGGAGGAGGGAGGGGAGGACGGAGGGAAGCGAGAGGAGGAAAAGGAGGGGGAAGGAAAAGGAGGGAGGAGGAAGAGGGTGGGGATTGAAAAGGGGGGAGGAAGGTAGATTTTATCCTCTCCCTCCCTCCCAGGGTCCATCCCGAGGCGATCGATCCGATTGGATGTCTCCTTCGCCGCCCGGATCCGATTCGATCCCAACATTCCGACGACCCGACGCGGCCCGATGTTCTCCTCCTCCTCCTCTTCCTCCTCCTCCTCCTCCTCTCTCCTCTCTCCTCCACCTCCTCCCTCCTGCCTCCTCTCTTCTCCCTCCTCTTCCTCCTCGCACGGCGCAACCGTGCACCCGCGCGCGGCCAGTCTGGTTCGAGTTCGACTCTGTGCCGGTGCGGCCCGCCCCAACGCACGTGCCTCGAGAGAGAAGGCACGATGACCGTGACCAAGATGTCGCCGGCTCTCGCCGCTTCGCAGGGTATCCGCGGATGGGCGCTGAGATTGATGTGGGCGATGGCCAACGTCGACGCGTGGTCGTTTTTTTGTTCATTGCTTTGCCAGTCGGCGCGGGCCCTCGCACCCCCTCACCCATGTGGCAAATGTAGGCTGTTTTGGGCGCCTGTTTCAAGCACGTGGAGTCGCCCCCCGTAGGACGCACTGTTGCAAACATTCGCATGAAGCAGAGGTCCGGAGCCAGACCCCCCCCTGCCCCCCCCCCTTCCGCCCAATGCCGAAACGCCGAATAAGACAACGTTCATCACTGACGTTTCTGCGTTCAGTCCTGATCGTTATCGTTGTGATCGTTGTGGTTATCGTTGTGATCGCTATGATCGTTGTGACCGCAATCGTTGTCGTTGTGATCGTTGTGATTGTTTTGCTTCCGCGTCCAGTCCTGGTCGACTATTGCCCTCGCTCCCGCTCCGACGCGGACTGGCCGCCCACCAAGCCACCCCGACCCAACCCGAAGGCCTCAGTTTGCCCCCCGTGTCCAGAGGAGGGGGGTCGGGGAACATTTTTTAGAAAACACAGATGGAGCCCGCACCCCCCCCAACCAACCCGAAGTTCGGGTCTTCGGGTCGGGTTGGGGTGGCCTGGTAGGCAGCCCCCCGCCCGCCGCCGCCGCGGCCCTACGCGCCAGCGCCGCCCGCCGGGCATCCCCGCAGGCCCGGGCGGCCGGCACCAGCACGACTTCTCGGAGGGGCCGCGGCGGGCCTTCCGCGCGGCCTCCTCCCGGTGGGGTCGGCCGAGATCGGCCACGCGCAGAGGGGGGTCAGGCGGAGGGTTTCTCCGAAGGGCTCAGGCGACCCGTCCTCCACCTCCTCCTCCTCCTCCTCCTCTTCCTTCTCCTCCTCCCCCTCGTACTCCTCCTCCTCCTCCTCCGCCTCCTCCTTCTCTTCCTCCTCCTCCTCCTCCTCCTCCTCCTCCCCCTCCTCCTCCTCCTCCCTCTTCAACCTCATCCTCCTCCTCCACCTCCTCCATCTCCTCCATTTCCTCCTCCCCCTCCTCCTCCTCCCCGTCCCCCCCCTCCTCCTCCTCCTCCTCCTCCTCCTCCTCCTCCTCCTTTTCCGCAGCCATTTTGGCTTAAGTGAACCGCTCTTCGGGAGGCCCTCGCCAACGCGCCTCAGGCGCAGGCGCGCAAACGGCCATGGAGGACGATGCCGTCTTCAGCAAGAGTACGGGGCGCCGCTGGGCTGCCGCGAGTGCGAGGACGCTCGCGCGTCGCCGTCGGCGTGAGTACCGTCGTGAATTTGGAATACCACGGGCTCAGGCGCTGCAGCGGCGCATGGTCCTGCTCCGCGCTGGACTGACCGCCCACCTTGGGACTGGAGCGACGCCATCGGCGGACACCATCCCAAGATGGGCGACGCCTTTGCAGCTGCTGAGCTTCTGGGGCCGCTTCGCCCGAGCTCACGGCGTCTGCGGCCACAGCCTGCGCTGACAGCAACTGGGCTCGGCACGCGCCACTGCGTGACATGCCTGTCCTGCCCAGGATGCCGATCGGCATCGGCCTGGTCACTCTCGAGCAGTTTCGCGCCGCGTTGCACCTCGGCCAGCACGGCTCCGAGAGGAAGAACGTGGACGACCTGTTGGGCGCCTTGATGTGTGAGGCGAAGCCCTGGACGCATGTTGCGGGCGAGCCTTGTGGCGAAGCTGAGCCTCGTGGTGATGATCATCAATGCGATCTCCCTCTTCGTGATCTTGCAGATGAGCCTTCTGAGCGCGCAGCTGAGCCTCATCGTGTTGATGAAGAACTGCATTGTCGCGCTGATGGGCGTGCTGCTTTTGCTGCTGGCTCCGAATGTTATCTTCAGGGCGTACTACCGCCTCAAGAAGTTGTACACGAGCCTCTTGCATGTGCAGGTAGGTGAGCCTCGTTGTGCTGATCAGCGAGAGCATTTTGAATTTGACTGTTGTGCCCAGCGTCCTACTGAACATGTGCCTTCTGATGGCCATGTCGGGCCAAGGCGCTCCACCAGTGCGGCATGGTGGTCTGCCCGCCGTGAGATTGCGGCTACTTGGCTCGTCGGACCTGCCGCTGCCTCTCCCTGCTGCCGGTCTCGATCTTACGCCTCGTGAAGCTGGCCATGGAGCTTTTGACGAAGGCGTTCACGATTCTGACGGACCCGCTGCTGCTGCTGCTGCTGGTCTCGACCCTGTCCTTTGCGAAGCTGTTCACGCATCTTGTGGCGTCTTTCTAGATTTTTCTCTGCCTGCCTCTCCCTGCCGCTTCCCCGCTAACAGTTTCCGCCTTCCTGAGTGCCGCGCCGATTGCTGCAGGCGAGAGTGCCGTGGGAAGCGCAGCTTGTAGCTGGGGGTGGGGGGTGAGTTTTATGGGGGAGGGGGGGAGGTGAAGATGATTAGAATGCTGGCTCTATTGCATTTAATGCGAACCTGCTTACCCCGCCGCCAGTTTGCCAGCTGGCTTGGTGACTGTGGCCCTTCGAGGTTTCGGTCCTCGTTTTTCGGTCGGTCCCTCGGTCGGTTCCGTTCTGGGTCCTGGGTTCCGTCCCGCGTCCCTTTCGGTCCCCGTGGGGTCCCCTCACCGTTCGTCGGCTTTGCAGGGAGCTGAGGCTAGTCGTCAGCCCGCGCCCAAATAAGAGTTCAAATGACTATTCCTCCTCCTCCTCTTCCTCCTCCTCCTCCTCCTCTTCCTCCTCCTCCTCCTCCTCCTCCTCCTCCTCCTCCTCCTCCTCCTCCTCCCCGGGTCGCCTACGCGGCCCCGGGGGAAACCGCGCGCCCGCATGGCCTCCTCCCGGTGGGGTCGGCCGATATCGGCCACGCGCAGAGGGGTGCAGGGTGTGAGACGAGGCCAGGGCGAGGGCAAAACATTCGGGCGAGCACAAGTCGCGGATCTCTGGGATCCGGGGGATCTGGAGCATGTCTCGGGCGCCGCGGCCTTCTCGGAGCGTGCCGGAGCGCTCTGGAACGGATGCGTCCTCGTCCTGGCCCCGTCGGATAGTGGGGGGGGAGGGGCTTCTTGGAAGCACCCCTGTTTCTCAGACGGTGCGGTCTTGTCTGTAGATGTGGGGTTGGCGTCTTCTGAGAAGCAGCTTCCTTCTCAGAAGCCTTCCCCCCCTCCCCCTACCCCCCTGTGCGCGCCGCCAACCAAACGGCAGGCGATCGCAAGCATGGATCAAGGGGGTGTGGATTAGCGAAGGGTCCCATTTTCATTGGAAATCGCGTATTTCCGTCGCCGAACGAGGCGGCACCGGCCGCATTTTGGGGAGGGCATCTCCCCCGATCCATGGATTTGGAGACTGCGCGCCAAATCATGGATTTGGCCACCGCGCGCCATGTCCATGGATCGCTAATCCATGTTTGCGCGTCCCCGATTGACTGATCTGTTCGACTCGTTCGACTCTTGTTCGGCTCCAGTTCGACTCCAGTTCGGCTGAAGGCGACGGGTGCAGCATCGACGCACGAGTGGAGCGAGTGGCTCCGGGAAGGTCCCCAGAGCGAGCACAGCAGGAAAAGGGGGGCCACAGGCCAGTGTAAACTCTTTCCAAAGCATCTTGGGACGTTCTCGGAACGTTTTGGGCCGCTTTGGAACGGCCGCGGCGCCCGATGCAGTGGAAACCCGTGCCAAGAGACACCCTGCTTGCCTCCAGGGTGCCCCAGGTTTTCTGGGTTTCGATGGTGTTGTTATGGAAAGCGTGACGCTCCCGCACGAACAGAAATCAATGGAGGTCCTGGGATCTCAGGGTTGGGTTTCTTGTGGAAGGTTTCTTGTTGTCGAGCTCCTACTGCACATCGTCTAGAGCCGCCGGATCTTGGAGGTCTTCGCTTTATCCCGGTTCGATGTTCCGGTTTTGGTTTCGTCTTCTGATATTGCGGCCGTTGCCGCCGACCTGGAAGGGGGACGACGACGACGACGACGACGACGACGACGACGACGACGACGACGACGACGACGACGCCGACGGCGGCGGCGGCGGCGGCGGCGGCGGCGACGACGACGACGACGACGACGACGACGGCGGCGGCGGCGGCGGCGGCGGCGACGAGGAGGACATTGACGTGGGTCCGAAGCCTGAGGGGTATTTTTCGGGGTCTCTTCGGTGCGCTCTTGGGGCCTCTGTTGTGCAGTTGTGGGGCCTCTTAGCAGCCACTTGGGGGGCCTCCTCGGGAGCCTCTTGGAGGCCTCTTAGGGGCTTCCTGGGAGCCTCCTGTGGCCTCTTGGGGCCTCTTGGGGCCTCTTGGGGGCCTCTTGGGGCCTCCTGGGGGCCTCTTGGGGCCGAGGGCTCGAACAGATTTCTTTGGCTGTCTGGGCGCGCTCTTCGAGCTGTCTTGGGGGCCTCTTGGGCCGTCTTTGAGGCCTGAGGCCTCTTGGACCGTCCTGGGGCCCTCTGGGATCGCTTTCGGGCCTCATTGGAGGGCTCTTGCGGGATGCACCTTGCGCGCGGGTTTTCAGGGTTTCTTGCAGCCGCGCTCGCACCGTAAATGGCGTTCACTACACGGCCGTCGGCCTTTACTAAACGGCCTTTTCCTGTTCGTGTCTTTCCTTGGGTGCGTTTGCCAAACGGCTCCTTTTGTCGGGCTGCTCGTCATGAGAGTGCTTTTGTTTCTGCTGTCTTCTTCTGTGTGGCGCTAGTTTTCTTCCGAAGCGGGGTCGGAGGCGGAGGTGAACCGACATTCAAGACGCTGAGATAAGGACCGCTTTGTGGTTCGCAAGGGGTTTGCCGCTCCTTAGGTAATTCCGTGGTTGCTCCTCTAGCCCTCCTCGTGCACCCAGGCGCTTTTTGCGCCTGGCGCACAAAATGGGCGTCGTTCTTTGTGTAGCGCTCCTTAGTGTGAAGGCCTTACGGCTGGTGCCGCCGACCCTGAATGCGACGACGACGACGACGACGATGACGACGACGACGGCGACGGCGACTGCGACTGCGACGGCGACGGCGACGAGGACGATGGCGGCGGCGGCGGCGACGATGGGCCCACCGCCGACGGGGGTAGTTTTGGGGCCTATTGGGAGTGTCTTGGGGGACTATTTGGGGGCTCTGGGGGGCCTCTTGGGGCCTCTTTTGGGCCTCTTGGTTACGTCTTTGGGCCTATTTGGGGCCTCCTGGGGGCCTCTTGGGGCGGAATGCTCAAATTTTCTGTTCGCGATCCCTCTCTGGGCCCCCTCGTGGGGCCGTCTTGGGGCCCTCTTGGGCCGTGTTCGGCGGCTCTTGGGCTGTCTCGAGGCCCTCTCGTCCCGTCGTGTGGCCCAATTGGGCCCTATCGGGGCGATCTGGGGGGGTGGGAAAGCCGAAATGGCGGAAGCGCAAAAAATCGTTCCAAAACCACATGAAAACGATTCGGGTTTTGGGGGGCCCTTTTGGGACGCCTCTTGGGGCGCTCTTGGGGCATCTTGGGGGCCTCTTGGGCCTTTTGGGGGGCCAGTCTTGGAAACATCTTGGGCCGTCGCGAGGCTATTGGCGTCTTGGACCGATAGTTAGACGATTCGGGGCCCTTTTGGAGTGTCCTGGGGGCCTCTCGGCAGTCTTGGGGCTTTTCTGGGCCCCGGGACCTCCCGGGAGGGAGGCGTGTCTGGGTGGCAACCCCCCCGGCCCCCCCAGGGGACCACCACCATCCCGCCCTGGGGAAGGGATCAACGAGAAGGGTCTTCCCTTTGACGCAATGAGATGTTGGTCTGTTCGGCGACGGGCTCAGGGAAAGATGCGAGCGCGGCGACCGCGATGTGGAAGCGGTGACGTCGACGACGAGGCTCTCGACGTGAGCTGTGACGTCGACGACGAGGTTCACGACGAATGGCGTATTGACCGACGACGAACCGCGTCTTCCACATGCCGATAGGGTCGGCAGATTTCAGTAGCCCTTCTCCAGGAGGAGGAGGATGAGGAGGAGGAGGAGGAGGAGGAAGAGGAGGAGGAGGAGGAGGAGGAGGAGGAGGAGGAGGATGGTGTTGGGAAAATGGACGAGGAGGGATGAGAAGCCAGCGCAGGAGGAGGAGGGAGAGGAGGAGGAGGGAGGAGGAGGAGAATGATGAGGCGAAAGAGGAGGAGGAGGAGGTCGTGAATCTGGATATGTCGGGGAGGAGGCGGCGGAGGCGCATGCGAAGGCGAACGGGCACAGGGAGGCGGATGGAGGCGACGGGAACGGGCCACCCTCATCTCCACCCGAGTGCGTCCTCGCCATGTTTTCGTTCCCCCCTTCCTGCCTCCTGACTCCTTGGAGTTTGTCCGCCTCCACTTGCGAAGGCTTGCGGCGGCACCGATGGCTTCGGGTACTGGCCACGGCAGTCCTAATCGCACGGTCGCATTGCATGAGGAGGGCGTTTAAGCGTGATGATGAGGATAAGGGAGAATTTCTCCCTCATTCTCTCATTTTTCCTCTCCGCCTCCTCCTTCGCTTCATGCTCCTCCGCCATACACTCCTCCCGTCCGAGGAGGAGGAAGAGGAGGAGGCGGAGCAGGACTAGGCTAAGCCTAAGGCGCGTCAGCGATGTTGCAATAAATCCTCCCTCCAGATTCCCTCCTTCACTGGTTCCTACACGAGTTTGTTCTCATTGCAGGAAGGGTTCCAGTGGAAGACGACCGTCTCGGAGTCCGCAATTGTGCCACAGCACCGTTCCCGAGACTTTAACGCCGCGGATCAACGCGACCCTTGCGTCCAGAGAGTCCTGAATTGTGCCAGAACGCCATTCCTGGGACTTCAATTCAAGGGAGGAACAAACCACCCAGACTGGACAATTGGCGTTTACTAAACGACCCTGGACGTTTACTAAACAGCCTTGCCCTGTTTGATGCCTTCTTTGGTTAATCAACGGCGTCGCGTGTTGGGGTGATTATGATCGGGGTGGATGTTCTGCCCTCGACCAGCACTGCTAACCAACGCGACTCCTTGCGCCTTGACAGCCCTACATCGTACCACAGGCACCATCTCTGGGACTTCGACCATGCGAACCCTTGAGCATGTACAAACTGGGGAAACATATGGCGAGGCCCACATTTTAAAAGGGAGCCGCACTCCACCCTTGAAACTGACGTAAGCTATTGAAGCGAAACTGCGCGGCGCTAAAGCGAAAGCCTACATTTAGAAGTGCGCCCGCCTTCAATTCGCCATAGCGCTGTAAACGCTTGCGACGAATGTGCGTGGCTTTTGGGT